GAACTTCGGTGACCGGTTTAACTGCAAAGCCGTCAGTTGTCCTGTAAGTATGTCTATCTTCCTCTCTAAAGCGGCCACTCGGTCGTTTTGCTTTGGCTTTAGTAGTGTCTCCCTTACTTGTTCAGCCACTTCTTCCGGCAAAACAGAGCTTGTGTATCCGAACTTTGTGTTTTGTGAAGTTATATGATCGGCCATGAAGAAGTGTTCTAGACGGACAAACCACAATTGAGGGTCATTAAACTTAAAACAAGGCATGGGAAGATTAATAGCACCCACGGACCCTAAATTCGAAAAGTCTTGATTATGAGAGTTTAAGGACATCAGTACTGGTACAGCAAAAAAAATATTTAAGAAGAAGAGCAGGGAAAATACGATAAATAAGTATGTTAATGCCTACCACAAAGCAGCCAAAGAAATTCTCAATAAATACGTATATCCGTATTGTATACAGTCATTAATGGCCGGTTGCAGTATTCGATTGCGAGAGTTTGATCATGTCGAGCTCACCAGTTTGTCGAGCTCTGAAATCTGACCCCAAATTTTATATACGTGTCCAGATACACTATCGCCTATTTATAATTCCCGACACTGCTGATCCACCTGCGTCAGACAGCGTAAATATCAGGAGTTAACGCGAAGTATATATCAGGATGTTGTATTAGTCAACGAGCGAGCAAAAGGTCTTTTTCAGTACAACTAAACAAAAAATGTTCAACGAGTTGTTACGTACATCAACACCATACAGTGAAATAAAATGCCACAAATGTACCGGAAGGAGAGAATATATTGAAGAAGACTTCATTTAGGCTTACCTTTAGACACCTATCACTTGGTCCTCTGCGCTTGGTCAATGGGTTTAGCCATGGGCCACAGAACAAGAAAAGAACCGAGAGCCAAGGGAGTTGGGCAGTTGAAACACTAAAGAATCACTGGCAAGGTGTAGAATGGTGAGCTCGAGGAACTAATAATGCTAGCTTTATTTTGTTGAGAGGTATGTCGGAGGATGTGTAGTAGTAAGGCATGTGTAAATACGGAGGTGTTACAAAAGTATGCTTTCAATGGTAGGATTATTCCGAATGAGCATTTCCCAATGAGCAGAAGTCCAAAAACGAAAGACATTTCACGTCACTATTGATGCGTTCTTGAAGGCCAACAAAACAGGTTGTTCTTCTATATGAGCCAAAAAAGTCAGAGAGTGACGCTGAAGGCCTTTCTAGCAATGACCGAAGTGACCAATTGGGTTTCTGCATTTCACCTGAATAGAGTGATTTTCACAAAGTAGAAAAGTCTAAGCGTCCACTTCATTTGTTGCTAGGGCGGCCTCTTACGCCACTCGGAATCAGAGGTGTCGTTATGTACCCACTCCAATCAAATGGGGAGAAACTTGCTGCTGGATTAAAGGCCATGCAGAAGAATCAACGGAATCCGACGAGCTGTACTCAACGCTGCTCCGAGAGCTTGCACTGTATTTAGCCGGCCCATTGACTACCACATTTAGATTGTCCCTCAGCGAAGCCACACTTCCCTATGACTAGAAGCATGCCATAGTCACGCCCATCCACAATGTAGATCGTGGATAGCACCCATCAAATTACAAACCGATAAGTTTGACTAGCACTGTAGTAAAAATCCCAGAAAGAGTAGTCAAGAAATCCACCACAATTCACTTAGAGAGAAACACTCTATTGACTCGTTTGCAGGATAGCTTTCGCGGAAATTTCTCTTGCTTGACAAAGCTTTTCACAATCAGAGAAGGTTGGGTTTAGTCTAAGGATGATAGAATGCCTGTAGATGTCACTCTCATAAACTTTAGCAAGGTGTTCGACAATGTACCTCATTCTAGGTTGCTCAGAGGACTTTAAAGTTTCGGAATCACTGGAAATCTACTCACATGCATCAGAGAGTTCCTTGTTGACAGGAGACAAAGAGTGAGAATTCATTTCCAACTCTTTTATCGAAGAAGTCTTTCAACAGCGCAGCAACTTTGCTCATGCGAAAAAATATCCACGCAAGCCAGGACTCCATCCCTGGCCGCTACCATTAAAACCGTGGTCTTCTCTCCATGTCGATTTTGACGAAGCGGTGGACAGTATGTACTCTCTAACATATGTTGACGCACATTCTAAACGGCTGAAGATTTTTCGATGGCAGTCCATCAAGGAGCAAACAGCGGTGAAACAACTTTGTCACCCATTCTGTCATTTTGGTATTCCTGATGCTCTAGTGTCCAATAATGGGTTGGAGTTTACATCGTCCGTATTCTCAGGTTTCTGCAATCAGTTTGGCGTCCAACAGATCCGTACCCCTCCATATCACCCTCAGTCCAACTGCCAAGCTGAACATTTCGTTGATACCTTCAAAAGAGCTTTCATTAAGGCGAAGAGGGAGGGGACGATAGAAGAAGCCTTGAATGACTTTTTGCTACTTTATAGTATCTCACGGAATTCGTCTGCACCAAGTCACTTATCCCCTGCCGAAATTACATCTGGCCGAAAAGTCAAAATCGTTCTTGATGAAATCAAGCCTAAACGAATAAAGTGCTGCAAAAATACTGAACTGAAAAGTCAGTTTAATCGCCACTATGGTGCTAAACGTCGACTGTTTGGTTTGCATCAGCACGTCTTACATGGCTTATGAAATAGTGAATAACCCAAGTCACCTGCACAGAGGAACACTACCGAGTGGCCTCTATGGATATCCTCGAGGAAACCCTAACAGAACTGCCCACCGAAGGTGCGTTCACACTTCTCCTTCAGAGTCTGAGGGTACTGGAACGCACTGCCAGCGGAGGTGGTCTCCTTCCCAAGTTTTGAAAGCTTCGAGAAGAGGCTAGACTGTTAAGCAGAGACCCACAGTCCACCCACATATAGTTGGAACAAGAACTAAACAGAAGAAATCAACTGATGTCAAGTCACTCCAACTATTTTAACTCTGCAACCGGTTTTCCTTCTACTGTAACCACTCAGGCCCTTTTCATCCCTTCCACTTGTTATGAGTTAGCCTCACTTACCCAAGTTCTTCATATCTTAGCACCCTTCCGCGCCTTACTCGGGTGTAAGCGGATTACTCCATTAGCTCACCTTTCATTTTCCCTTATACTCGCAAAAATTCACCTTTCTAGGTTTTTTCTCCACTATCCCTAACCCGCCCTAGCAACCAGTCTGAACAACTCTCTGGCATCTCGACATCTGAAGAAGCCAACTGCACAAACACTTAAATTTTTGTTCTGTAGATCAGAGCTATAGCAGACGAGTGGCTGGATCTACTGCACTGGAACCCGCCAAGGACCTGGAACCGTCCTGCAAGACAAGGAAGCTAGCGGGAATAAATCAACTGATTTACACAAGCTCTCCTAAAAAGATATTGGAGTCTACGTGGGTGGTTTTCGTTATTCACCTCAAAGATGTACTCGCGGACAGATAGTCCGGCGTAAAGGAAATCTACAATACAAAGCGAATGTATGATGACAGATTTGGACCAGACACATGAATAGCATACTAAGTGCGGCCAACACAAACGACAAAAAGAAGTAAAACTTCGCGCTAGAGGTTTTAATGGACACTTTATCTTCCGCAGCCAGGAAAAACCCAGTTCATCCCCACTGGAAGATTACTTGGACAAAGAGGAGGACAAAAAATTTAAATACATCATAGAAAGAAGTCATACGATTTTTATAGGAGGTGACAGGTAGCGGCACGAAGGCAGCCAATACAGCAACTGTTCTCAGACCATGATCCATGCATGTGTTGACATGTTAACCTCATTGGACAAATTCGACGCCATACAACCAATCGGGATGGTTTCTTCATGGCTTAGCTTTCTGGGGGTTTCGTCAATATGTGTATATGCCTAGTAAAGTGGTTGTTTTTACAGTCATAGGCCGGTCGTTTGTACTCCGACATCTCCATGGCTCGGTGAAGAAGAGGGAGATCAGTCGTGTACCCTGAGCCTCAGTATCATCATACCCATGCACTTAACCCCATTGCCACAACAGCTAGAACTGTAATATCAATTGTAGTTTTTTTGTGGGATGAAGAGATGGACGAATGGTGCTGCTTATTGACTAGATCTACAGACGGTCAAGCTAAAGGGGCTACGTGGACCTCTTCGAAACATCCAGAGTCGGCTTCTTCAGGTGCATCCCGATGTCGTTTGCTGTATGTAGAGAGCAAAGTCGTAGTGCATGAGTGAGACTATAAAGAATGTGAGCGTTTGTAGCTCTACTCCCTGAGTTGAATGGTTTAGTCACGTCCTCTCTTTACCTGACCATGATGGACGACGTTTAGCAATCCGACGGTGGATTTACTTAACTTTGTGCCTAATGTGGCCAGCTCCAAGAGACCAGTTCCAAAGTTATCGCCGCAAGACTGGTGTATGTATTGCCGTGAGGAGTATCCTTACTCTCATACCTTTTGCTCCCTTTATGTCCAAATGGGAATTTTGATACTACCGAAATAAAACCTCGTTTCTTATATGGAGTTTGCAGCTATAACGCCCGAACCTCAAAACACCGGTTTCTGGTTAGAACCTTAACCCAACCGCTTGAGGCCCAGCAAACAGGTAGATTTACCGTGTTACAAGTTTAAGGTCTTGAATGCGTCTGCTACGTCCCCTAGTTCTTGGTTAATCCCATTTCCATTTAGGTTTTTTAAACTAGACTTTGCAGGGATCTCCTACTGCTTCCGCCTCGGTATTCACCAGACTGATACCAATGGAGGACCAGGCAGAACTGGAGGTCGGCCATAGTACGGGACTCCTCAGCAGCGCGCACCCTGACCCAGTCAGGATCGAACCCAGGACCCTCAGGTTCCATGGCCAGCAGGTCACTATTGAGCCGGAATCCAGTGGTCCTTATCCCCCACTTCCGTCAGCTCACGACAGGTGTGGCACGGCCTCCGTCCGATGCCGCCGATGAGTAACTGTCCTCACTTCCGGTTCGGTTGACTCCACCGATCAAGACTTCTCATTGCAACTCCCGGAATTTTATCTCAGAACAGAACCTTATTCAGTTTATCTTTATTTTGCATTTTGTTTACAGTTTACAAACGTGAGGACAAGGAATTACGAAAAATGATTCATCTTTTTACAAATAGCTTGGAATGATACCAAAAAGGGAGTTCACGTTGATATCCGAAGTTCCGCAATTGGTGAATGATGCAACATCATCCACCCGGCAGAATCACGCATATACATTTATTCTGTTTATTCTTTGAGTAAAAGTGAAATATATAAAGAAAAATAACGGTTCGAATTCAATGAGAAAAACCAACAGTGTATTTACAATCAGAGTTGAACAGTTGAACGAGTCTCCAGATATTGTAGAAATGGGAGAATTGTGTCCCGAATTGTAGTACGCGTACTTTCATCCATTGCAATGATATGGCTACCATGATCAGTCAAACAAATCATTGTATTTGGATTTGGCTAGAAAAAAATTTTAAAAGGAAAAACAACAGAAACTTCACGATCATAAGAATATACGCGAGACATAGTCAGCGTTAGTTAAGCTTCCACAGTGATATAACTCAACTCAATTGAAGCAGTTTTGTGCAAAGGTCTACGGGTTACACTGATTGCCTCAGGCTGATCCCCGGGCCCAATGACAAAAAGTTAACTGATTAAGTTATTGGGTCACACCTCCGTTTTCATCAACTGTGACAGTGTTTCGTGATTCACCTTCGAAGGGAACTGGTCTTGAACGTGCTGAGCCGTCACCTACATCGACACAATGTTATGGAAAGCTGGATTAGGTTGAAAAAGGGCCCAGGGTGGCCAGAGAAAAACGTGGCTTCAGTCGATGAAGTTTCTTACTGTTGGTCTCAGCCGTGTAAGAAAGTGTAGACTATCTGACTATGGTCCGGGGAACGATGCGAATCAGTAGTAGGAGACCCTCGGTGAAGTGGCTGAAAATCGCCAACATCGGCGTAGATGTGTCCACTGCTTGACGTTTTCTAAGGTTTGAACATTTCCAGTAACCTTTATCTTCAAACTGTTTCTTCTCTCGGAATACTTCATTTACTTTGATATCAGTTGTTTTCTATTTAATTGTTTGTTTATGCTACTGTGAAGTGTGGCAGCTTGAACCGGAGTACTTGTGTGAGAAGTTCCATATTGATTTTGTCTGCTTGTCAATATGAGAAAGATATATCGGAAGCCCCATATAGAACTATCGATGAAGGTGGGATTAGAGTGGTACTGAAACCGGGAAATTTACTCACAGAAAAACTTTGTCCGTCTAAGGATTTTATTGAATCAATAAGGCAAAATAGTTTAATTTACCAAATATCTTACAACAAGTGTGAGACCAAATACATGGGTGAAACTCCTCGACCAGAGTTATTCAGGCTAGCAGAACGTTGGAAACCAGCTAAATCTGGTTTGATGTGCCCTACTAAGGTGAGTAATATAGGGAAGAAAGAAGCAGTAGGTATGTGGTGAAACAGAGTAACAGTCCTAAAGACTAATCTAGTTAAATGGAGGGCGAGGTTGATCACTGAGTTTTCCCTCATAGATTCAGCGCCCAGCACATGTAAATGGACTGATTCAATACCGATTCCCGATATGACGGAAGTCTTACCTACTTACAATGTTAGCAGATAGACAGAAAAAATCAGCATAGAACCTCGCACAGAACTGCATCGGTTTAAGCTGCCACACTTCACAGTAGCATAAACAAACAATTAAATAGAAAACAACTGATATCAAAGTAAATGAAGTATTCCGAGAGAAGAAACAGTTTGAAGATAAAGGTTACTGGAAATGTTCAAACCTTAGAAAACGTCAAGCACTGAATACATCTACGCCGATGGTAGATAGTCAGATACCTAGCCAGTCGACGCCATAGATCACGCAAATTGCTAAATCCCAAACAGTACTTCGATCTCCGAGCTGGGATTTCGTCAGCAAACATCCTGTACTCATTCCACAGTCAGACATTGGCATATCACCTCAGGGTCGACAGTCGAATGCTGCATTCAGGTTAAGAAATATGACAAATGTCAGCCACTGGTGGGTAAATATGCCTGCATTCCAGAGTTTGTCGGAGAGTAAAAATATGACACACCCTCTTCCAGGTCTGAAACCAGCCTGGTTAGGCATCAGATAACTAGGAACCCCAGGATCTTGGAGACAATATTAATCAAACTATAGTTTTCACAAGAAAATTTCTCCCCCTTCTCATAGACTGGGGTGATCAGTGAAGCACACCAGTCTGACGGCACTACTTCCCATACACTAGCTAGTACGTCTATCACTTTTACCAACAATTCCCTACCTCCACCCTCGAAAACTTCAGATGGCAAAATATCAGGCCCTACTGCTGCACATCGTTTCAGGTTCAATACAGCCCTCCCAACTTCAAGGAGAGTTGGAGGACTGACGTCTACGTCACATTCAGGGTGGATGTGAAGCAACTGAAGCGTTGCTGAAGGCCAGTTGGACTTTGTCTACTGTTCTAGCCAACTGTCCTGAAAGGTTATCAGTGTCCCTACTTATTCGGTGATGATTTCACTCACCATCTTCTTCTTGCCGATATCCTTAATAAGCCTAAACAGTTGCCACGTGTTACCCAACGCTGATGCCCTCTCCATCTCTTTCGTTCTAGCCACCTACCACTGCTGGTGATCATTGCGAAGACTCCTGGTGATTTATGTCTAAGTTGCCTTCACTTTTCATCGTATTTAAAGCCGGCTGTAGCCAGTCTTCTCGTATCAATCAGTTTGGATGGTGTCACGGAATCCAATGGAGTTTGTTAACTTTCATGCGTAGATTAATAATTTGCCTTTGTTGCTGTTTCTACAGCAGACTTAATATCACGAGGTTTTCTTAGGATGAGCATTGCCGTCAAGCTCAGATTGGTGTTTAGTTAATTCCTGTCTAAATACATAGCTACCAATCGAGCACAGATTGGCCTCACTACCTCCTGTTTCCTGAGACCAGTAAGGCGCAGACATATACGAGTCTGTACTAGCGCGTGATCGGAGTCCAAGCTGGTACTACGGAAAGAGCGACAATCCTCCATGGATCCTCTTTAACGATAGCTCATAACAATATGATCCACTTGTGTCCATTGTTGGTTTCAAGTCTGCAGACGCTATGTGAAACAGCGCCTAGGCACCATGCCTAAAGTTAGTGCTGGCTAGAAACAAGTGACTGTCGGAACAAAAGCACAATAGGCGATCACCGTAGTTGGGTCGTTGGCATGAGATTCCGTAAATATCCCCAAGATGCCTCTTGGACTGGCTCAGCTTTTCCACTCGAGCGATAAAGCCACCTGCCATTATGATTACATCTGAACGTTTTGCTTTCAGTGGCAAAGTGAGATCTCACAGAGTTCATCTTTTGTATAATCCAAACTGCCGTCGGTGGGTGTGCAGACGGAGATTACGAATAGGCATGGCCTAGTCTCAAGATCCTTCCTAGTCTTTACAAATCCATCCAATCGAACAACATATAGACGGATGTTGACTGGTAACCAGTCAAGAAGCGCACTTTCTGCACTCTGGCTCAGTATTATGCCTATACCTGCGAGTTCACGAGAGCCAGCCACCGGGTCTCCGGATAGGCATTAGGTGAACTTTGAAGACTCACTAGTATGGTCAAGTGAGGTCAACTTAATAACCTTAATCGGGTCCTGTGTATCAAAGAAACAGTACACAACCATGACTAAAGATTCCAGGGTTCTAGTGAGCGATACTTGAGGTTTGATTCGATGTAGGGTTCGGACATTGAAAGCTCCAACATGAAATCGATAGCGGGGTCTTAAGAGATCAGGAATGAGGTTTCTATGCTTTGGTCGTTTGTAGTGGCCACAGAATGAAGGGTTAGGGAAAGCGTAAGGGGCTTAGTATTAGTAACAGGAAGTGAAGGAAAAGATAGAGTTGAGGAGGATAGGTTAATTTTGGTCAGGTCTTGTCTACAACTGGAAGCATGCAGGTGGTCGACACTTCCCGGCTCCCGATACCGTAGGGGACTAGTTATTCGTAAGGCACCTGAAAAGGGACTTTTGTGTGACTTCGAAGTCCAAGGAACATCTTTGCTTGAGGTCGATCACACACGGTTTTTTCGCAAGTTTGAGAATTTGGTATTTTTTTTCAAATAAGACTATGAATCCCTGTTGGAGGCATCGGCATGCCACGGAGGGGCGGGAGTGTGCTATTTCTGAGGCCGACTTCTTCTAACCCCGCTTCCCATACGGAAGGCAGTATCAGAGTGGAACTGCTGTCACATTCCGTCCTGTCAGCAGTACGCCTTCGCCCTCGTCATAGCGTAGCAATTTACCCTATAATGGTAACTAGTTTTTGTCCAACCACTACCCAGCAGACCTTTTTGGCACGGTAGGACCTCGAGGGAACTAGCGTTCCACCAGTAAGGCTCGTTGGGTCACTGTGATATACAAGCCCGACCACCACGTAAAGGTAGCAGCTATCAGGCAGGTGGCCCAGACCTGTAGTCGAAGAATTCATGTACCCATGCCACGTTTTAGTCTGTCTGCCTAGAGCCTTTTTACAGCCTGAACCTACTCCAGCTAACATGCGTGACGAGGTAGATGTTGGTCAGGCATTGGTAACACATATCCCAGTTATGTCAGTCGATGGAGGTTCACAAGTGCACCGACCGACTTTCTTCACCTACCTACAACTCTACACCTGAATTATGCGTTATTGACGTTATGGCATTATGACACACGGTCTATGCTACGAAGGCAATGGTGGTCAAACACCGGAAGCTTTCTCATGTCCTCTACCTTAAGTGGCAATGTTTTACATCCATATGGTACAACACGGCGGACTGCAACCAGTAGTCTCTACCCTTAACAGATAGCAGATATCCCGGCAGTACAGCAGATGGCGCAAGTCAGTCGGGCCTGCCGCAAGCATACAGAAATCTCGTCCACAACTGACCCACCAGAGCAGTATTAAAGCATAAGTATAGAAAAAGGACATAATAAATCACTCAATAAACACGTAAACATCACCAAAATATAAACGATTGCCTTAATGAGTGAGGATAAACAATAAACTAATTGCTTTGACAACTTACAAACAGAATAACATCTTCGTTATTTATAGAATCACAGTGTTTACTGTTATACATAGCATATCTGGCATACATTTGACGTGCAGTTAACGGATCAGCAAGGTAAGCACCAGTAACACCGCGTTCAGTTAACTTTTGTATAAGTTCACAAGGATTTATTCTAGGCGAATGACTATTACAGTTGACGAGAACACGGTGTTCAATATTCACTTTTGTATTCAGATTAAATTTTTGATTACGATCTTTAGCTGGACCATTTGCTGAATGGTTTGGTGTTGTCGTTGTCATCGTTGAAAGAGCAGGAGGCGGAGGAGTAGATGGTCGTAAAAAATCTTTCACAGGTTGAGTACTATCAGGTTCTAGCCTCTCCTCCTTACCAATTAACCAATGTTTGCCTGTAGGATTGATGAGACCATAAAGTATAAAATAAACATAAGTAAGTAAAAAGACCCAACCTATAGTAACACCTCCGTCAGTGTAATGACAAACAATTTCAAAGAGAATCGTCGTATGTCTCAACGTTTTAAATAAACATCTATTTCATCATCATCAACATCAACAGAAGACCAGAGATTACTGCATAACAGTTCAAGTTGACAAACCCCATATCAGCATATAAAATAACAAAACAATGAGATGAAAGACGAAGAAAGAACGGAGAATGGATCAAAAATAGCAGAAAGTAGTAAAATAAAGGAAGGGGAAAATGCTGATTTTAAAATAGGATTAATATTAAAACAAATTGAGGATACATCTGTGCCACTAATATTGGTTCTAGGTTCGAATCACCTATGAAATACCAGTTCCCTAATGGTTGCAAAAATGTCATGCTGATGACTGTCAGTAAAAAGGACACCTAGGTCTATGGCTTTCCGCTGATTGACTCCAAACAGCTGACATCAACATACAATACACCTCAGTGGTGTATCACTTATCTTAGTGACCACATTGCAAAATATTGATTCGCAGACTGATGATCAGTGTTTAGCCCTAAGGACTAAACAATTACATCGTTTTCAAGTTGTTATTCATCGAAGACTGACATCAGTTGGAGGAACAAAGGAAACCTGGGAGCACTGGACAGCTGTTTCGTCCTAGTATGGGACTCCTCAGCAGTGCGCACCCACGACCCCACCAGCAGGGACCGAACCCGCGACCTTCAGGTTCCGTGACCAGCGCGTTACCATTGAGCCACTGGGTCAGAATCCAATGCTCCATATTTCCAACTTCTGTTAGCTCACGATATAGCGCAAACCGCCACCCAATGTCATCGTTGAGCATTTGTCCTCACGGCCATCAGGCTTTGACTCCACCGGTCACGACTGATGTCAGTCTTCGATGAATAACAACTTGAACTATTTCCAAATCTCCACAACACCCTCAAAAAAATTTAATTACATCGTTTACCTACTAGTGACCTATTCGTTTGTAATTTTATTTATCTTTCGCAGTTTAAGAGCACTACTCAAGTGACATGTTTACTACTGCATTAGAAACTTGTCGGACGCAGAGGTACCTAGGGTGTATCATTGCTTCCAGTCAAATCTAAGTTAGCATCAATCACTTCGAACAGTATATGTTGACCCTTAATGTTACCAAATAATGATGGCCATTGAGTGTTTTAAATAGATACTTTTTGTTAAACCTTCAGAATCTCCGTTATCGGTATGCCAAACCGAATTGACTGGATTGTGCTGATATACTGATATATTTCTGTGGATGACTCGGCGCTACTAACATATACTCGTATCTTCCCCACCCTCGAAAGAAAAAAGCAAGGGAAAATGTGAACTGTGGAAAAAGTTATTAGTGCATAGAACACGGACAAAACTGTGAGGGAAAACAAATAGGTAGTGAATCCGATTGATGTCAAGGGTGCAACCAAACTGGTTAGAACTTTTATGATTTTGAAATGGTGAATATTTTTTAGCTCAGATGGATGATCTTGGTTGTGTTCTTTGAGCTGGGTTTTTTAGTTGTGGAGCTCTCATCGTCTTTCTAGATGATATCAACACTAACTTCAATATGAAGACTTTATATTGAAGTTAGTGCTCATGATGTTGTCTAGAAAGACGATGAAAGCTCCACAATTAAACAACCCAACTCAGAGAAGACAACACCAACGAGGTTACAACTGTATACATACATCACAGACAAACAGTAAGATCTTACAGATCACTGTGGAAACTTGGTTATAATACACTGGGTTATTTCCTCCAGTCTATGACTACATTACAACTTCGGCCTAATAAAAGCGGGCATCAGTTGAGGATGACAACCAATTCAGTGGACGTATGGTTATTTAATTTATTCAACACCTAACTTTTTAACTAATAGTTCAGATCCCAACAATCAAATGGTATTAACAAGAGTATAGCCTCCCTTGGACTATTGCTAATAAATAATAATCTTCAAAAAGAGGAGAAAATCACAAGGGAATCCAACTTGATGCACACAGTGTCTAAGATGCTAGGTTCTGCAATTATTAGACGTTTAAATGAAGCTCAGTAACAGCGAACCCGAGAAAACCACATAGCTTTCAAACTTGGTCGTGGGTCGACCGACCACACATTCACTCTCCGTCAGCTTCTGAAGTAAAGCCACACTTCTAGGCCACATTAGACTCCCTTGATCAAGACGTTTCGTGCCAGCGTCTCTCACTGAAGGGAGTGTCGAGTAGGTACATCGCTGTTGAAGGCTCTGCATTTGATCACTTATAGGCATTTCAGAGACTTTGGTAAGTTATGTACGTCAAGCGATGTCTATCAAAGAGATCTACTCTCTCGATTCTTATTCAATCTTATCATCAGTATCCTTATGGAGGTCTCTCTTTCATCGTCTGAATCTACAGCGATTAACCTTGTTGCAGGAGACATCTTAGATGACATAGTCCCATTAGATGAAGACGCTAGCTAGATGCGGATGCAGTCTTATTAAGGGCCAACTGTTCTGCACTGCAGTTTGCTCTGTTATACTGTATGGCTGCGAAAAACGACCATTAAAGGTGGAAAACATGGGAAGGCTTCAGGTGTTCGACCACTGTCACCTTTGTACCATAGAATGTATGTCGTGGTATCACCGTGTCATTAATGTAAAAGTCAGGCGTACAGGTTTGGTAAACGAGGTTGTGAACCCTAATCAAATCACATGGGTGGGAAATGTATTACGCATGCCGAGTCCCATTGTGCAATGTAAGCTCAATTAGGTTTAAACTGGAAAAAGGTTAGCGGCGGTCGGACTAAAAAAAGGGATCAGTCCATGAAGTCTTTGACTTTTGATCTCAGTTGAGTAGAGGAATGCAGACTTCTTGGTTGGGGTTCGCGTGAATACCAAACTATTCAGTTGGAGATTCTAGGTAGTATCGCTCAGAGTTGACATCAGATGCATACTCGCAGCTAATCTTCATCTGAACCGTCGTGTTAAAATCCAGTAGCATCTCATTTTTCGTTCTCTTTACATGACTTCCTGCCAAGTTGACTTTTTTCTTCTTTATTTCTCTATTTTCCATTGAAATGCCTTCACCCTTGATGTACTGGTTTAAAGTTTGGCAACTTGGATCGCTGCACATTATTACCGTCCCACGATGATGACTGACTAAATGATTCTGTTCTGTCTACTAATGTCCAGGTACCTGAATGTAATAGTCAAATATTACACAATAGAGGTGGTTCACAGCTAGAAACTATGGGTTGGCAAGCGGTCACTGAGTAACGCCTGCAGTTACACTGAATATGTGTATTCATTCATATTAGCTAGAAATGAGAAAGAAATTATAAGCAGTATTCATCACGGACTGACATCAGTTGGGGAACCATTGGAAACCTAGGAGCACTGGACAGCCGTTCCGTCCCAGTGAGGGGCTCCCCAGCAGTACGCATCACAACCTGGCTAGGGGTCGAACCCAGGACCTTCGAGTTTCATGGCCAACGCGCTAACCATTCAGCCACTGGGTCGGTTCCCAGTGGTTCACAATTTCCAACTTCTGTCAATTCACGCTATAGCGCGACTGTCACCCAAGGTCTTCAGTTAGCATCCACTTTACTTTCGACTGGTTGACCCCACAGGTCACCGCTTCTCATTAGAGCTTCCTGATATCCATCTGGAAGCAAGTCACTAATGAGCACTATACAGTAATGTATTTTTGAGATGAATGGGGATTTTTAACTTAGAAGTAGTATTCATCATGGACTGACATAATAATCATACATAATTTACCGTCTACTACTTACCATCTCTAGTAGTTAGTAGTCCATTCACTAGTGCAATGCATGTACGTTTATCTTGACCAGCTGCTTCGTCTGATGACTGCTTCTCTATTACACCAGATAACTCTTTACTCATATTATCACTAGAGGTGGAAGTAACAACCGGAGGTGGAGTACGAGGAGGTGTAGAAGATAATTTACGTTTCAATTCAGATTTACCAGATGAATGATGATAATCCATTTCATTTTGTGTTGAATTCACCTGTTTTTTATTATCACTTGTTTTATCTACACTACTATTGGTTATTGAATTGAAGTTTTCAGATTGTAGGGTAATGTAGACTGGTTTTATTGTACTTACCAATTTTGATGATACACGAACTTGTTGTAAACGTGAATCTGGTAGGCTAAGACACAATTGTTGACTATACGATATACCATGAATTTTTGTTGTTAACTGTTCTGATGTTGCAGTAATATTAGTCTGAAGAAGGAATGAAGATGGTGAAGAAGATGAAAAACCGTGGAAAAGCATATAAAATGAAATTATTGAAAAACACCAACGACTGGATAATGTTAAGCGAAATGTAACGAGAGTAATAAACACGAAGATAATTATCACCTGTGAAGATTGAATGTCACCTCAACACCAGTTTCATACTAAACTGGGAATTTTCGATAGTAAGCAACGCAATTTTTTCTTTAAGAACCGAACACGCTGTATAAGAGTACTGTTGTAGTGGGCGTTGCAGGTAAGAATGGATATAAGTAGTATATGTTGGGAGGGTGGCAGAAATCATACGGAATTACCAGCAATGGGTAAGGATTGCGCCAAGAGAAACGTAAGAGACAAGGCAGGCGTATGAAGAGCAAATCAAGAAAGAAACAGAAGAGGAAGTGAAGCACATTTTGCAAATGAGGGTTTTAGTGCAAGGTGTACATATTTAACAACTACTGTCCCACGTGTTGGCAACAAACACTCCTTCCTTTGCACCTGTCTTCTTGTTTCTTTCACTGTGACTACCATTTTGAAGCAATGTAGGTTATTTCAGTGACTGATATTTCCATCCCTTGAGAGGGTTTATGACATTTTTGTACAGGTTATAGACAATTGAACTGTTACACAAAGTAATGTATGTGACCTCGAACAAAAGTGGGTGCCTTCAAATTGTGTTACACCTAAGAAGAGTACGGGAGGAAGGCAGCAGCAGACGGGGAAACATATTAAGGTAGATGAGAAGGATATGTGAAGGAGGCAAACAAATAAATAAACTTTAAAAAAAGGGCTGACTGAGTGGAGAAACATGTTCCTTTTCAATCAGGTCTTCGTAACCATCCGTGAATTGCTTAGTAGGAAAGCTATCCAGAGAAGTTTGCAACTAAGCATATAAATAATATCGTTGCTTGTATCGAGGCATCTGTGCAGCAGCCCATATGCCAGAGACCGATCAATTCGGTCCAATCAACGACGGGGTAATACAAGGAACAATATCAAAACTATACCCGTCAGACAAGAAGTGGCTATCGTGACTCGGTGGTCTAGTGAATAACGCTTTGGCGTTTGAAGCAATTAGTCCCAAGTTCAAGTCCTACCTCCCACTCACTGGGAGGTAGGTACACCCATCTGACGAGTCCTAAATAAGATAGAACGCGCGTTCTGAACTCCACTGCTAGCCACTAACCATCTTTAATATATAAGCATATGAATGATACGAAAGTTAATACAAGGATGCCATCAGTTCCTAAGAAGCAAATCTTCTTGAAGCCAAAACTCAGGAGTGACATTGCTAGTGGGACCAACACACAACGCATAAAAAGAGTCTTGCAAGAAGCATTCCCATTCTACAACCACGCGATTCTAGGTGGGAGAAAAAAAGATAAACTGTCTGATTCTGCCACTTCCATGTTCATTTACTACTTCAACCGCTCCGGTGGAGCTGGTTACATTGGTCGTACAATGAGGCACGTTCATCGTCGAATTTCTCAGCACCGCTCATCATGGTTGAACAAGGGACAAATTAAAACAATAAAGAACTTCATACTTGGATACTTAATGGACACTGGACATCAAGTGGATACTAGAAAAGCATTCAACATTATTCATCACACACCAATCAATTTACCAAATGGATTACGAATTCACTTTATGTAGTAGAGGCGATTGTAATCCACTATTACAAACTTGACCTTTGTATAAAAAGAAGTTTGTTCGACCACTTTCATTACCGTGGCAGTCAACATGATGTAATTTTTAGAGTAGTACTTTGCACACCAATTTCCCCTCTTGTTTCTATCAATATTCATTTGCTTTCTTATTCTAACATAATTATTCATTGTTTATAACTGACCACTCGTCAAAAAGTACTCCAGGTACTAAGTAATTTACCTAAGAATAACCTGTTTCATATTATTATAATTACCCCTTTTAATTACGCTATTGATTATGTGTATCATAATTTCTCAAACTTATTATCTTCATGACTTACTTAAAATACATAACTATTGTTAGCCACATCCTATTAACTTGGTTGATATTTTGACTGAATTGTAAACCTACATATTAGTGTAGAGCTAAAGATGAAGACCTAATTGAAAATGAATATATTTCTTCCTTTAATCAGTCTTTTTTTCTAAATAAATGAAGTCGAACAGGAACATGACACAGAGTGGACAAATATAAACTATTGTAACTGACTTTAAGCCACATAACTGACAGACTTCCAGTATCGATTCCAAACAGTTTAAAGGTCAAAAGTAGGTAATGTTCACCTACATACATACATGATAGGTAGTAACGATCGAGTATGTAGTGCTAGAAAAATCTCTCCACTCGAACTCACTCGGTCGCAGATGACTACAGACTTATCGTCCGAAGTAAAAACAACCAGTGGTGTTCGAAAAGGATACCCACTGTTTCCATTTATGTTCAGTTTTACCATACACTGAAAAGAACGAATATTTTCAACGTGGTAGGATCGCCGAAAAATGAAGTGCACTCAGCAACCAAATCTATATTCGTGCAGTAGGCAATGAGCCACACCTATTGTATTGTATGAAGGCCAGTCATACTGTAGTGGGCGTTGCTGATAACGGATATAAGTAGTATATATCGGGAGGGAGGCAGGAATCATAGGGTATTACCGGCAATGGGTAAGGTTTCTGCCAAGAGCAACGCAGGGGACAAAATAGGCGTATTTACAGGGGATGCTGCTGATAAGAGTGAATGAAGAGCCGGTCAAGAGCAAATCAAGACAGGAACAGAGAGGAAACGAAGACATTTGCAAATGGCTGCGTTAGTGCAAGGAGTACCATATATAACCATTACCATTCCAATTGTTGGTAATAAATATTCTCTCGTCGAGTTGTCTTCTGTTTCTTCAATACTACCTGGCTAGCCAGGCCTTTGGAAGCAGCGTACCGTTCAAGGCCGTAACCTATCAGTTGAAAGTCGGGCCACCAGACTAATAAGCCATAGCTCCACCGACTAGCTTGTTTGGATAGACCAGCATAGTTATTGCGGAGTTGTGACTTACTGGTCTAAGCGCTTGGTTTTCAAATGATAGGTTACAAATTCGTACTCCGCTTCATCTACAGAGATTTGGGCAACCAGTTAGTATCATTAGTCCTCACATAATAGGTGTGGTTCACTGCTTACTGCACGAGTATGCACAAGGTTCCTGAGTGGATTTCAACTGTTTTTGATTATCATAGACGTAATAATGAATATCACCTTCGGTACCTCCGACTTCCTAAGGTATGATTTAAAATCAGAAGGGCACCTGGTTGACTTGGAATACACAGACGTTGACAAAATCCAGTCTCCTGTACACTTTGTGCAGATATCTGAGTATGTTTGGAATGCGTTTCGTACCTGTCAAATGTAAGATGATGCTTCAGAGCGGAACTGCACCAAATCTTAGTTTAAGGATAGGGAGTGAAATGATTGAATGCATTGATTACTTCACTTACCTGGGAAGTTCCATCAGCCCGACAGCTGGTTACCAACGAAATCTCAACTCAGATGCAGAAGGTCCGTATGACATTTGGCAAATTAAGTTATCCCTGCTGCCGGTGAAATATCCAACTACATATCAAAGGACGAGTATAGTGCGCTGCAGTCCACTCTCTTACTATACGACCATCGGAAATAGAAGATATGAAGAGATTACAGGCTTATTCGTAGCAGTGCTGTGCATGGCAGAAGCACTATATGAGCAATTGCTACCTTAAGTTTAGGGTGCTAGTCAAGGAAGGCAAATCAGCCAATGATTTCATGGACGTTCATTGTCGGATATGACTGCACAAACCAAGTCACTAACTACCTCAACATGGGATATTAGTCAAAGTAGGATTGGTTTGGAAAGCTCGGGTTGGTTAGATGAAAAGGTGCTACAAGTGCCGACTGATGGTTTGAGCCGTTTGTGGGAATGTACAGTGTCAGTATGTTGTTTTCTAGATGATTAGAATCACTGATTGTAGACTGATGATGATATGGCTGAAAATCGATCATAACGAAGTACATTTAAACACTAGCATTGCCGAAGTCTTGAATAATTTTACTAACCATCATCTAACTACTGGGTCAACTCTGATAGATTTTTGTCTACTTACAGATCACTTTTTCTACTCAACTGTCGTCTGCATGCTGCAGTGTAGTGTGGCAACTTGAAGTAATGCACTTTGTGTTAGGTTTTGCAGTGATTCGTTTGTAAGACGTTCATACATACCAACAGTGTGTTTTCAACCTATAAAAAAGTTAGTTGAAACGACATTAGATTTTTATAATACAGTAGAACATGAGTAAACTGTCCCCTTATCCCCCTATTAATTTCTTTGTAAAAGTGAACACAACCGAAACTTCACTCACCAAAATCATTGGTTGGTCACAAACTTCCTGGGGAAGAATCAATGCTAGCCGAGGTTCACCACAGCGTTTCACTAATTGATTTATTTGATTCACGCCGATTCGTGCTTCCATTGGTAACCAATACACAGTGGCTGTATCACTGATTGATAATGCTGGTGTGCCTGATTGAGAAAAAGTTGTACGATTAGCAGAAATATTTTCTGATTGAAGAAATGGTGTGATAACTCTTCGAAGATGGGTTTCAGGACTACATAATAACTTTGAATTGCATTCATACCTATACAGAAACAAAGGAGAAGAAGTCAGTTTTAGAGGATACAGAAATAAATTATTCAGGATTATGAAAAAATAGATGCAGCTTCCTAACTATAAAGAAGCTTATGCATCATAAAGACTTCTATCTTTTTGCCAGTAAAAAATGAATTTATAAATACACGAAAATCCAGCACATCGCTATACCTAGGATACCTATGTCGAATTGCAAATTTCGCATTCAATTGGTGCTTCACAATTCTTTGGTTTGAAAAGATGATTTAAAACCAAAACTAGTGGTAATCATTCAGCAGCCTTTTACTGTTTATGTTGTTAAAAAGTAAAATAAAAGAGTGTCTATTTGGATGCATCTTTGAGATTGCTTCTTTAGTAACTTATTTCAGGTTTTGTTTCCATTTTCTCTTTCGTCTTCTGTTTCTGCTTAGTATTGGTTTATTATTTTATATGAGGTATAAATAACAAATAAGTAAATAAATAAACAATAGCATGTAAAATACTACTTCTTTTTCCCCTTTTTTACCCAACTTGCAATCTAGGATATTGGTTCAAGTATGTAAACTACTGTGTACATTTTGATTTATAGACTGAACTTGGGTTGTAAATAGCTGATCGGAAACGCAGAAATAAAATGAATCCAAACTATTCTGCTAAAACTGTTGTTTTCATTTTATTGGTAGGTTCAGTGTTATTGTCTTGGATATCACAGTTTCGCTACGTATAAAAATAGGAAGATAATTTACGGAAAAAAAAGTAAATTTTATTAAAATTAACTTACGATGGTACATAATCACCAGATTCAATCAATATAACTGAATGGTGTGACGGTATACTGCTACGATTCCCTGAACGTAAACTTCCATAAGCCAAAGCTCGAGTAAGATGTACAGATGGACCTAATCGAAGACTTGGATGGCTAGCAAATATGAGACATGGTGAATTAGGCCAAATTCCACCGCTTACATTATGATTATTACTACTGGAATCTCGAACAGTAGATGTTGTTAACGCCAATATAGCAGGATCGAGATTGGCAGCAGCAGTTGTAGAAATAGGATTGGAAGAATTTGAACCACCAGTTTCAAAATAGCCACCAGATGATGATGAATTAGCAGGACCGAGAAGAAGCGGTGAAGTTAAAATACGACTTGAATATACCCCACTAGATGAATCAGATAACAGTTTCTTACTTGAGGAACTGTCATATAAACTTTTGAGAGCTACCAATTCACCGGATTGCAGGAGCTGAAACAGAAAAAATGGAATACATTTATGAAGTTTGAAAAGAAGAAAGCTTTCAGTAGAGAAAGTGGAGAGCACTTTGCTTTACTGCTTTTTTCCATTAAATATTGTTACAACCATTAAGTTATTTAAGGTTGAGAAATAGTCTTGGCTTACTACGAAATTTGTACTACCAGTCTCCGGATTACCTCGATCAATTTGTTGACTAGATCTCATTTTCACTCCAATAGCTGAGTTTTCTTTTGTGCCGTTATTAATTTCAGCCAGATACATTGATTGGTCATTGGAGAGTACATTTTGATCGATTTTGGTTGGTTGGAGGAAGTTGCGATCAATAGAAAGTCCTGCTCAATGCATATTTCGTGCATGTTAGCACTCGTCAGCAAGGCGTATCTACGAACTCAAGAGGGAGCGTATGTCTTCTGTAAGATTCGAATCCACACTACTCAGTACTACAGTCAGAGACGTTACGAGGTGAATGATTTTCACGAAATTACTGAAACGCCTTGGTGACGACTGACAACAAGCATGAAGATTAGGTCGAAGGCTTTCTGCAGACTGTCTACAATCACCACCTAACAGATACACGTTTCACTAACTATTCCTTATCACAGCAGCTATCAAGTTAGTTAGGTCCCATTTCAATGCCAACTGGAAATAAATTGGAAAACAGAAATGATCCAATAATTTTTGAGCAGTCTCCACATAACAATGAGATAATTATGTTGAACTTGTCAACCAAAAGAACGTAATGTAGCCGCTTGAAGTCATTTTGAATCATGCCTCAACCGATTTGTGTTTACCTATAGAAACCTTGAGCTGTGACCGAATTGTAAACCATCAGTACAGCAGATAGAATGAGTAATACAAAAGCACCTATCACATGCTTACTCTACTCTTTATCGGTTAGTAGAAAAAGTGAAATTAAGAAGATTGTTTGTTCTATTCAACAATGCAACTACCAGATTTGCGATTTCTCACAGTTGACAAAACACTGGACTGTTTCCCCCAAAAGCAGTAAGAACTAATCTCAAAGTCATGAAAGTTTAGTTTTATGTGTAAAAACAGTTTTAGATATGTTCTGATTGGTCTTTAATCCTACACTAAGGTGGAAATCATAAAACTACATTTCTTAATGACTGAATTTGTATATGTTTCTTGCATTTTAACTTATTTCAATACATTTTTGAAAAAAAAAACTCATTTTAGTCAATATTAGTAGTCATTACAGTACACTTTCTGAGATGTACGTTCAGACTTCTTTTCATGTTCTTCATTAATTGTAGTTAATCATTTTCGGTACTGACAGATCCCTCGAAATCATATAAAACAGACTGCAACACAATACTGATCCTGAAATCAGTTACACATACATATAAGCAGCAGCAACAACAGTAGTATGTAACTAAGCAACCATAAGCAAGTTTGTGCACTAGGCAGCAGTGAATCAGATATATTGAATGAGAGCTAATAAGACTACCTGGATACTTCAACTCCGATAGATGGAGCGTAGGTTCGAACCCACGAACCAATGGCTGAAAGTTGAATTCCTAGATCAATGTATAATAGTTCGTGTAACAACTTGATACGTGTGTAAATTAAAAAAAAGTCGAAATGCCCTCAGCAACCTTGTGCACATTCGTGCAGTAGGCAATGAGCCCGACCAATTATGTGAGAGCTATTGATACCAACTGACTGTCCAAACTTCGGTAGGTGGAGCGGAATTCGAACCTGTGACTCATTGGTTGAAAGTCAACTGCATAAAGCCTATGAGCCAAAGGGCTGAGGTGAGATATTTCACTCAATAAAGGTAACGTCTGATGAAAATTGGGAAAAAAATACATGACTATTCATGTGTAGATAAGTAACTCAGTCAGTGTGCAAACATTCAAATTGATGTTCGCATTTACGGATCTGAGTTATACTTGTAGACTCGTACACGTCAACGTTAGTGCAACTTTACAATTCTTACTCTTCTTTAAACTAAGTATGACCTAAATATAAGAGCACATGAGTGTAATCGGGAATGACTTCAGAGGGCATCCTAGCAACTGATGAAACAACCAATCATGTTTCAGTATTTCGGCTGAGGTGGTGTTTTACAAAATAAAGAAACGTAATTGGTTGTCTCGACAGTTGTTAGGGTGACATCTAAAGTTACTTGTAATGGGATGAAATCCGTTAATTAAATCTACTGAAAATGTTGTCTCGATATGACTGACTGATTTCTTTTTGTTCAAAGATAGAAACGAAATTCTGTACACTAACCGATCACATGGAAGTCTATACAAACAATCTGTGTCATCAACCAATTAAATTCAAATGATGCTTACTTCCGCTAGCTTGACTGATCACAGTTTCAATCTAGAAAGACGACGTATAATTAACACTACATAAAAATAACTTGCATCGACATTATTTATTGAAACTTGTAATTATCTATTGTTATTCTCGATGGGACTGATCAACCTCTGTTGGGCTCCTATGTAGATGCCTCGATATTGCTTGATCATTCATTACGTTGTGATTCGCTGGGTGGTGTCTAGCAGTGGAGTCCAAGACGCATGTTTCGTACTACTTGAGACTGGTCAGGTGGATGTACATGCACTTCAGTGAGTGATGTTGTTCCCACTGAGAATTGAACCCACTACCCACTGCTTCAAACCCCAAAGCGTTATCCACCAGGTTTGAGTCTTAGTGGGAACAATATCATTCACTGGGGATGTAGGTACATACAGCTGACGAGTCCTAAATAGGACGAGACGCAAGTCCTGGATTCCGTTGCTAGCCACCACCAAGCTAAATTGTTTTAGCTCTTGTGAAGATGTTGATTTGACACAGAAACAGATTACACGAAAAATATAGATCAATAATAATTGGCAGTTAGCTGAAACAATAAGTGAGTACAATTCAACTTACAGATTGAAAAGGAAAAGGTGAATCTGCCGTATACAGAACAGCTTCTTTAGCAGCATTCAGCCATTCACCATAAGCATTAGAATATGCTAAACTAACATGAACCTGATTTGATAAGATAAAAACTGGTGAACGTGCCACTCGACCAGACGATGATGATCCTCCTGAAGATGTAATAGACGAATTACGAATTGCAGATTGGGCATAATTGTTAACTACGATTGAATCCATATTTGACGGTGTAGCTGAATTGAAAGTGGTTTTATTATTCGACTGACTATTGACTGTTGTTGTCACCATGTTGGTAGGATTCCCAGCGTCATTATTACTATTGTTGTTGTGATTGATATGATTATTTTTATTTACTGTTGGTTGATCATGTGGAAATAAAGGCAAGATATTACCACTGAAATTATCTTTGGCACGAATAGCTGTCTCAAGCAAATCAAAGATTATACCACATGGATTTGACGGTACTAAAACATTTCCACCACGCGCTAAAGTTTGCACTGTTTAATATCAGTAATAGTCGTATTGAGTAAGAAGGGGAAACGAACAAGAAAACAAGAAGAGTAACATTTAAATACGCACACACGAAGCGCATAATAAGTATGCTATCAGTTAGATAATGAACAAAGTAGTTAGTCACTTCAATCCCCTAGACAGCACGTTTATTTCCTAGAGACGAGTAACTTACTTATTTCAGTCCCATATAACAGAACATATTAGTATTTATGTCTCCCATTGGGAGTCTCGAAGATGCACGTTCATATTCTCGGTGACACGACCCAAAGTTGATGATGATAACAGCGTAGATATTCACAGGCTTCGTCATTGTCGGATTTTTCAGTCCTGTCCACTTCCTTATCTTGTACTGTTGTCATATATGTGGTAAAAATGAGGCGATTCACATTTATCTCACGTCCTACATCGCTATATCTGCCTACTTCTATCCATGCAAATTTATTATTCACACTTCCACTACTACTTGAGTACCAATCAACTTACTGCCTTAATTCCAGCACTGAACTATACGAACAACTTCGCTCACAAGGTTCTTTGATCCCTCGATCATAAGATCTACCAAAAATGTACGAACAAGGTGTTCCCCTTCTTTTCGACAACACTAGGTAAGACTAATTCTCCTTACCATTTAATCGTATTGGTTCGTTGGGATACATGAAAGAGTGAAGAATGAGATTTTTAAGCACAGTCCGTGCGATGCAAATTACTTTGTTGATTTGATCAAGGATGAAAATTTATCAGGGAAGATTATCGCGTAGCTGTTTACAAATGTCCCACTAACAGAAACCATTTGCTTTCTGTGTGACTTCAATCGATTCCACAACAAATAAGTCAATATTCCAAAATCACTACGTACTGGAGCTTCTTCTTAGGCATTCTTTCAATGTTGGAATAATGGAGCATAATTGTAGCTTCATAATGAAGTTAGTGTTGATGATGTCCAGAAAGACGATGAAAGCTTCATGATTAAACAACCCAGCTCAGAGAACACAGTACAACCAAGATACTTCCAATGTGCATTTCACATCTATCAATGATGTACAAGCGGATAGAAGACATTGTGACGGATCACCTCTAGGACCCTTTTTTATTGATTACTTAGTGGGGAATAATCTTGAAAACCTGCATCAAATTCTGAAAAGTGATCATCTCTCTATCTACTTTATTCTAGGAGTAGAGTCAAGCAGGAAATTCCACTTTCTTGATGTCCAGCTCCAAAGGAGAGATCTATTTGGAGAAAGCTGACTTGGAACAGTCAGTTTTATTGATTTCCAAAGCTGTGTCCTCTTAGGTGGAAAGACTAATCTTATCAATTCACTTTTATCCAGAACATGGAAAGTATACCATCGATGGAGAATTGAATAAGCAGCGAAAAAGATTATGGAAAATAGATATCCACTAAAATTAGGAGATAAGAACACATGTACATTGCTCCAAGAAGGATTTCATTACTGAACCTCGAATGCAAGGTTGACAATACGGCAGACACCCTCAAGAAGCAACTATCAAGATCTACCAAAAAAAGTTCTTTGTCATCGATCTCAAAATCACATTCTCCTATCACAAACCCACTCAGTAGTACACAGAAAACAAGTTGTAGTTTCAGGTCACATCAATTTATTTGTTCCTTTGGAGTTGAGTACACTGACCGTACCATGTGCCAGCTCGCGAAGTGCGCTCGTGAAAACCACCCGCTATGTCTGACAAAGAGAGGATGGGAATGCAGCTTTAATTCTGTACCAGAACACTTAGCAGACCGAGGTTTATTTGACAAATCTTTTAAGATTTTGTATATAGAGAGACAAAACTATCTAGAAGGAGCACTAGAAAATTAAGTTAGAACGATCGTTGTATGATCAGTAAAATAAATACGTACAACCTCTTTCTTTTTCTTATACAAATGTACAGCTGAGAGAAAGATATGGTCAAGAAAGAAAGACTTCCCCTTCGCTACAGTTACCTCTTTTCCTATAATCTAATGGATTTATTTCAGTATCTATGTAACGTCTTTATGGCATCAACACAAAAGCATGAGACTGACATATTTACAATGAGTATTTGCAAAGATCACTTCTATTCGGTTGGATCAGTCTAACAAGTGTTGAAAGTACCTTTTTCTTCAAGAAACGTGATTAATACAGAAAAGTTGCCCAACTAAAACCCAACCAACAACTTCTACCTTGATGTGATGATCGGACTGACATACGGTGATGATTCAGCGAGTTATGCTGGTTAGAACAATTGTTCCTTGAGGTACTACCATACCAGAAACCTCTGTTAGATAGTAGCAAAACTAAAATCAGTTACAGTCATAGCGCAAGTACCTTACACCAAGGTGCACATCCCAAGTAGTAATGCACGCTAGATGAAGCGTGACAGCGGTAAGTCGTTTCCCAAAGAGAAAGGTAAATCATACTGATGTTTCCTTCCCTGTGCGAAGGGGATCTCAGAAAAGGTCAGCCCAAATAAAGTACACCCTTATCCGCCTTGCAGTATTCCGATGCTAGAGGTTTTCAACTTGTCCTGGAAATTTCTACCCAAAAGGCTGTGAAAACGGCCCGAAGCAGACGTCTGTTGGGCCATACGGTCATACACTCCTCCTGTTAATCATTATCTTTTTCAGATATCCTACGGAAGAAACTGTCACAGTGTGAACGCGAAAAAGTATCAACCATCGAAACTCTCTCAGCGGCTATAAAACTAAAGATAGTAAACTACTAAAAATCATATACAAATAGCAAACATTTCCTACAGCATTCATAGTCATCATTCAAAAAACAATTTTCTTCTTGAAAAAATGAATAGAATTACCAACTATATGACAAAATTCTTCTACTGCCTTTTCTAACTGACTATTTGCATACATATTCACCGTACCAACAATTAAGATATCCGTGTCTTCGAATCCACTCTCATCGAAAGGCTATGAAGACAAATGAAAAAAAGCTGGACAGAGTAAAACAACATAATTTAACTAAGTTTAAGCATAAAATACAAATATGACACAGTAAATAATTGCTGAAATAATATTTAAGTTACTCAGAAAACGAACGAAAACAAAACATTCTCAGTAAAACTCTGCACATGAATCCAGTAAGTAATGAACGGCTGAAGATACTAACTTGTTGACCAAACCTTGGTGGGCGGAGCAGGATTCGAACACATGACTCTCTAGTTAAAAGTCAACTGAAATTTCAAACGGCTATTCTGTATCCCAGCTGAGATTGTACCAACAAGTCAATTGGAGCTCATTCAAATCTCCAAGCAAGTGAATTGGCAGAAGCGTTTCACCACTTCACTCCCTATCCTTAAAATAGGGATAGTTTCAGACCAATTCCTGGAGTATCATCTTACATCTGCCATGTATGAAAAGTATGTCGGACACAATAAAATCCCTTCTGAAGACGTTCAGAAGACCCTGCATTTTTAAGCGTCTTTGCCAAACAGGAAAATGTTATCTACTTACTCCAAGTCAACCACATGCCCTTCAGAGAGTAGATCAATGTCTGTGAAGTGTGTCTAAGGTTATGTTCACTAATAAATCTATAACGAAGCTGAACAAGAATGGTGACAAAGAGTATCCCTACCGGACACCACTCAGAAAACAACTAGGCTACCGAAGTAATGATGGCGTTTATTTTTCAAAGGTGTTATTTCTAGTCGCTATAATAGTAATAATAATGAGAATGGTGGTAAATAGCAATAATAAAAATGACGGTAATAACTGTGATCGTAGTGGTAGTAATAACAACAATAATAATTTGTTTGGTTGTGGCTAGCAGAAGAATCCAGGACGCGCGTTTTGTCCCATTTGGGACTCGTCATCTGGATGTAACTCCACCTCAGTAAGTGATGTTGTTCCCATTGAGACTAAAACCCCGCACCCATCGCCTCAAACGCCAAGGCGTTGTCCACTATGGCACAGAGGCACGATAGCTACTTCTTGTACAACGGGTATTAGTTATCACTACTTACTGATATGCTTGTAAGAGGTCGAACAATTAGATCCAATAAAAAAACGGGGAATTACAAGTATGTCAATAAATTGTAATGACAACGATAATAATCGTAGTAATGTTACTATTGATAGCAATGATAATTACAATAGTAATAGTATTAATAGTAACAGTAACATTAGTAATAGTAATTTAATGCAGTTTAACCCAGTAACCGTTTGTGCACTAGGCTATCAGTCACTTGTTTCACCAGGCCGAAGGAGGTGCAGCAGGATTTGATACCAGTCGCCTTTACGAAGACAAAAAAGTAGCTACTAGAAAATATATGTAATGGTCAACAAGTTCAATGATTATCTGCCCAGGTTTGAATACATAACAGGGTAGTGTCCAACGTTAACCGCGGTGCCATTAATAAAAACGATTACTTAACAATATCATAGATTGGCTTCTTTTGTCAATCTGTGACATTTGAGTATACTTCAGAGAAAGCTAGATGTAAAGCGTCAAGTAATCACAGAAAATATGACAACAAAGTCGAACAAATCTCAGTTTGGGAGCAGCCATGTGAATTCATTCCGAGTTAACCCAGACAACTAAGTGACGAATTTATCATCCATTTAGTTATCTGTTCTTGATAAAGACACGCTCTCTCTTGGGTTCAGTTTTTCTGTCCTTCAAACACAAAACTGATTTAACGACCAATGCTCAATTTGAAAATCTGTATGATCAACTAAGCTCACTTGTCCCAACTTCTTCAAACAATCAGAAATGGCTAAGAGCTAAATTAGTATACATCGCTCATGGATTTCATAATCCTGTTTCAAGACAGAAAAGCATCTTGAAGCGTGAGCATTTGGAAGCACTGAAAGGATAACGAAATAACTCTGATATTATCATACTAAAACCCGATAAAGGATCGGGTGTGGTCGTTATGAATACGTCTGATTATAAAAGTAAGATATTATCCATTCTCAGTGATGAAAGCAAATTTACGTCCCCTCTAAATGAATACGTTAATTGGAGTAAATTCCAAACTGGTGAAAATGCTCGGTATGAATTTAATCAATAAAGATGAATTTAATTGTCTGAAACCTATGGGATCTGAACATCCACATCTATTTAGGTTACCTAAAACTCATAAACTTGACAATCCATTGCATCCAATATTATCTAAGTGTCGATCATCTAGACATAATTTAGCTAAAGGGTTGGCAAAGCTCTTGAGTCCTGTCAGAAGCCATTTAAGTAAGTCTTCATTGAAAGTTACATTTGACCTTATTGACTGTTTAAGGGGTATTAATATCAAGGATAAGATTATTTACTCGTTCGATGTAAATTCTTTATTTACTAATGTGGTTCTGGTAAAAACAATTGATATTTTATGTGACTATATTTCTTTTAACAGTCTTATATTCCCTATCCCTCTTAATTTTTAAAAAGATTTATTATAATTATGTACTGATAAAGTTGAGTTTTCACATTTGGGGGTGAACACTCAATAGATTGATGGCATCGTGATGGGTAGTCCATTAGGACCATTGCTAGCCGATGAATACATGTCATATATTGAAAATATAGCTGACAATCTCATCGGAAGGGTTTCACTTAATAAGAGATATGTCGATGATATAGTCATCATATGTGAAAAACCCGACGATAGGATGTGCCTGCTGGAGAAGATGAAAACGGCTCAAAATCACATTAGCCTAACCTGTGAACAAGAGATGAACAACCAGCTACGGTCCCTAGACATATTGCTCAATCGATGGGAGGATGGTCCGATCAGGAGGTCGATCTATAGGAAACCTACATAGACAGGGCAATATTTTAATTTCCATACCTATTGAAAAGTCCAATATAAACGCGGTTTACTTAGATGCTTATTCAACAGGATAAACCGCATCTGTACTGATGACACCAAGGGGGAAGAAACCAACTTACTGACGACAACACTGATACAAAATGGCTACCCGTTGAAATTTATTGACAGGTGCAAAAGTTATGTACCGTAGAAAAGTACAGTGTTCCGTTGCTAAGATAAATGTATACATCTCATTACCATTTACAGGAGATTCACGTGGCTCTGTTGTGAGGAAAAGACTTAGGTCGGTCATCCGTAAAACATATTATGCAGCCTGGGTTATCATTACAGAGAAGACAAAGTCCATGTTACAGCACAAACTGAAACAACATATAAACGATTACATCACATCCCACTGTGTTTATCAACTTACATGTATGTGTAGACATACACAGGGAGGAGTAAACGTGGTATGCAGTTAAGGATGGTTGAACATGTACCTAAGTGGCTTCAAAAACAAATGGCCTCAACAGATCCGATGAGTGCAAGTGACAAACAGCCTTAAAAGTACTACATAAAAATGGTCAGAGTCCAGTGTTTAAATTTATTGAAGATGTCGCCATCCGTAAATTCAAACCCCCTTTGTGTATACAAAGACAATCTGTACTCACGTTGAACCTACCTTGGTAGTATTGATTCTAATTTTCATACCAAGAGTAACGTGATTAAGATTTTGTTTTTTCTCTGCCTTTCCCGTTCCTATTAACTTCATTGACACTTTTCGTAAATTTTCATATGAATAGTTCGACAAGTCCATGTGTGATCAGACTGTTCGAAATGTGTTTCAGATAATCTTCATTTTTTTATTACGCTGTTTAAATTTATCATAGTGACCAGTTGCTCCAAACTTCATATAAGTTTATTTAGTGGCATAGATACCGGTACAAAAAACAACGTTAAACGAATTCAATAGGAACTTAGATTAAGAGAGAGCTATTGAAAGAATAGGTCTTGAAATATCGACAGAGGTATTCAAAATAATAATTTCTTCCCTGTGATAGACGTATATACACCGTCAAAACAGGAAACTCAATCATCGGTGTTATTGTCTGTAATCATTCAAAGTTTACGATTGTGATATTTATCATGAATTGATGATTTGAAGAAATGAAGAGGTAAGTACACCGGATAAAATATTCACTACCGGATTGATTACACTGCAAAATGATAAGTTTTCAGCTTTCACACTTCACTGGTCAAATTGTACTATTATTATTCATCGTCTTATTCAAGCTTATAGAGAAGGAGATTAGTTGTTTTCTGTATTGACAAAAAATACATCAAAAATGTACGATGCCTAAAATATATATTTCGAATCGACAGACACTCAGCAACCATATACACATTCGGGCAGTAGGCACCAAGCTAGACCTATTGTGTGAAGGCTAATTATAGTACCCAGCTGCACAAACCCCAGTAGACGGAGCGGGGCTCGAACCTGCGACCCATTGGTTAAAAGCCATCTCCCTAAACCAATGAGCCACACCTATACACAGGAAAATGCGCATTTAGCTTGCTTGGTATGTAGTGAATAAAAATGACTAATTAACAAACCAAAGTCATGCACCATTAGTTGACTGTGAATATGTATGGTTGTGTCATTTGTAGAAAGAAAGCAGATCACGCAGGAATTTAAAAAGGGAAAGTATATCGCTACTTAGAAGATATTTTCCTAGGTGCCACCAGAGATACACTGAAAAGTGTGTATATGTTTTGTCCCAGATTGGAATTACTGCCTTTTATTAGTCTTCTGAGATTTCCTAGTGGTGTATTCATGTAAAAGAAGACGAATAAGTTGTAATCAAACAATGGTGCGATAACAACTTTGAAAAGAGCAAATTTCACTTATTTTACTCACAAACTTATAAGAAGGGGATCTATTGGACTATTACAATTGAATATGCTAGCTAAAACATGCTAGGCGAATTCCAGAATACGGGAACACTTGGGACAGATATATATAAAAAGGTGACCACTAAACAAGTTGGTTTGTCCTAAATCATTAAAAACTTTTTACCATACATATATTTATATTTTTTGTGCTTTGAAGTTTCCTTAGCGGTTGGATTGGTTTTATGGGGTAGGTTTGCTAGCCCTATGCCCAACCTTCCCTCTTTATCTGGGCTTAGGACCGGCTAGTGACTAGTGAACTAGTTAACCAGGCGAGGTTAACTGGCACCAATCACCATCAACGGGAAAAATCTAAGGGAAATTGTCTCGTTCATCTACCTAGGCAGCATCGCTTCAACTACAAGAAGCGGCACAGATGAGGATGTCAAAGCTAGCCAGGATCGGAAAGAAAGCAAGACAGGCTTTCATCAATCTGAAATCACTGTCGAGATCTACTGCACTCAGCATAAAGCGTGAACAAGATCCGGACTTTCAACACCAACGTCAAGTCAGTGCTTCTATATGGTTCAGAAACTTGGAGCGTTACGAAAAGCATTTCCAACAAACATATATCACCGACAGCTACTGCCTACACTCACTCGATACTGATGATCAGAATAGTAAGAATAAGCGATGAGGAACTCTGGGGACGAACCAACCGAGAACCTATCAGCCAACAAATATGCAGTAGAAGAAAGTGGAGATGGATTGGGCATACACTGAGAAAGCCATTCGGAGATATCACGCGCCAGGTCAGGCGATCGAGTGGAATCCAAAAGGGGAGACGATGAGTTTGGCGTCCGACGCGAGGGTGACATGGAGGAGATCATGTGAGGAAGAAATGAAAGCTTATAGGCAGTCGTTGAGCCAGGTTAAAAAGACTTCAGAGAAGAGAGTGCAATGGAGGTGCTCTACTGAAGCCGTATGTTCCACTAAGAACCCAAGGGACAGGTAATGATAATAATAATAATAATAATGTCATACATATGTTGGGTCATAGTAATCCACAACAAGAAACTTATTGAGTTTGACTCATTGTCACAGTTACGTACGTTTAAAGTATTCAACATACCTCGATAATTTTAATATGGGCGTAAAGAAATACTGAAAAGTTAAGTGACTCAGAAAACAGAGCTCCAAGTGCATAATCACAATGATAATTAACGTTACTCAAAGCATATGCGTTAATAGTCTAATTCTGTCAACGCTTGTTGCATGCAGTTGCTTCTACTACTTAACGCGTAAAGTAGATAACATATGTTGAAGGAATATGTGTGGAAAAGGAAAAATAAGTCATAATATTGGTCGTTATCAATAACAGCATCTAAATCCCATGCACTCTGAACTACCAGGTACTTCACTGTGGCATGTTAACCGAAGTGTGATTAGATTGGACGAAAGTTGAAGATCATCGCACCAAGACATCACATAAACCCACGAAGTCTCTGACTAATTGTCTGAGATGTAGGCTGTCTGGTTGAAATCTTTGAGAAGATATAAATCAGTGGTTGGAGATTCACTATGAGATAGTTGAAAACCTGGTCATTACCAATAACCTATACTTATTTGTTGACCTCTCACCTCATATACACGTTTGTCTACTTAACTTCTTTTCTGTGCTCTTCCTTTTTGCTTGCCAGGTTGAAGCTGTCTGTTTATCTATTCACGCTCAAATAACTTAGGTTCACTATTGTATAAGGGATAATGATAGTAACCGGCTGCCTAAACCTCAGTAGATGGTGAGGGATTAGGACTAGTGACCCACTAGTTGGAAGTCGAATATCTACACCAATGAGCCAGAACTCCACAGTGGAATACATTCACACCAGCTAGATAGATTCCGTTGGTCTGGACACTTTGGCTTTGCGAACCGAATCTGTCCGGATGCATCAGAAATGAGACAGACCTTAAATGAGCCAAAGAAAGTGATGTTTATGTCACTCTAACTTCGCTAGCAAAATCTGTAAATCAGCCTGAGTTATTCAGTGGCATATCGCGTTAGTTCATGAGACTCTTGTGTAAGAAATCTCAATTTTTAGTCTCAACCGGGAAGTTTACAAAGAAAACAACGTTAACATCCCATTCAATCAGTTAGAATGTTACACAGCTGAGAGAAAACGTGCAATTTATGAGTAATTTGCAAATTCATCATCTAATTTAAAGTATACTGGTTCATCGAAGTTAAAGAGACAGATTAAACAATCAAGGAATTAATGATCTGATGACATTTATTGGTATAGAAGTCATTAATTTTTTCCAACCCAATCTTTACTACTGGTAGCATAGTCTACGAGGTTAGATGTTTCATTGAGACATAAGAGACTTGTTTCAAACACCTTAATCGGTAAAAACCACCAACTCCACTAGTGGATTCTGTACCGAACACTTCAAGTCGAATCTTTGTGTTCAACACACTTCCCGCCAGTTATCTTCTGGAGCAATACTAGTTAAAACTACTGGTCGTACCTCCTGCTGGTAAAATAAATGGTCGGTCGGCAGAAAACTATCAGCTTAGAATCCAATCATTACCAGTAGTACAAATCAACCTCAACCAGTTACTACACCAAAATACGCACGATGATGATGACCTAATGGAAAAATCAAACCCCCACATGCATCGGCTCACGTTGCCACACTCCACAGTAGCAAACGAAGAACAGGTGGGCAGAAAAAGAGTGATATCACAATAGAAAACGTTTTCTGAAAGAACAAACAATCTGAAGATAAAGGTTAATGTGAATATTTAGAAGATGCTGAGGAGTAAAAAAATCTGCGCTATTGTGACAAATTTTTAGCCAAGTCACCGAAGGTCCTGAAAAACAGATTTTTCTCGTCTAGAGGGATCCAACCAGGCAGTCTGCACCTCCCCACACGGGCTAGACCAACAGTTAGGGACTTTACTGACTAATATCACATCTTGGTTTGGCCGCCCTGAACCATCCTTCCAACCTAATCCAGCTTCCCCTAGCATGGCATATGAAGGTAGGCGGTGACCCAGTGTGCGCAGTAAATGTCCAAACCATCTCAGCCGATGAAGGTTGATAACCTTGTTAATCGGCTTGCCTGTCTTGCCTAGTACCCTTCACCTGACTGACCTCAACACTGCTCACACGGTGATTTCACCAAACGCGAGCAGTGGTACGAAGACACCTGTGATCAAACACCTGTAACCACTTCATGTAGTCTACTTTCATCGGCCATGTCTCACGGCCGTACAAAAGGTCAAAAAAGACTGTAGCGCAGCATACTCGTCTTTCGATAGATAGTCAGATATCTGGTCAGTCGGTACCACATGTGATGCGAATTGGCAAATGCCAAACGGGCCTTTTGTATCTGAGCTGAGATTTCATCAGCAACCAACCCGTTCGGGTTGATGCAACTTCCCAAGTAAGTGAACTGGTCAACACATTCCATCACTTTACTGCCTATCATTAAACTAGTTATTGCAGCAGATCAGTCCTGGGGCATCATCTTACATTTGACAGGTGTGATAATAATAATAATAATAATAAAATAATAATAATAATAATAATAATAATAATAATAATAATAGCACACTTACCAGGACATGGAATGTAACAACGAAGTATGTGAAATGTAGGCCACCTATAATATAAAATATGCAGTCATACAGCAAGAAATAAAGTATTTACTATTCACTATCAATTAGTCAGCAGTTTCAGTTCCGTCTTGCTTTGAGCTTCATATAAACCTTTTTAGCTCTTTACTTAACCATGATGGATGATATTCGGTAATACGATGATGGACCTAACTAACTGTACACTCGAACTAACTAACTGCACAGGAGCAGCTGAACTGGTAAATACACATAGAAGAGGCGAAGTCAGGTAATCTGTCTTTGATCCCCGAAGTCAGCATCAGTCAGCTGTAGAATACACAGTATAACTTTGCTGCATTAAACAATCTTCTTATAGCATTTTTCAGGCGTTGTTGCAATTTCATTGATGTCACTCTAGGACTGTAGTCTTAAAAACAGTAATTTCTAGGGAACTGTTGATACTCTAGTTTTCATATTAAATGTGTTTATGTTTTTAGTCGGAAACTTTGCTGGATATCCATTACTACTGAGTAGATCATTGATAATCTGAAGGTTTTATTGAAAGTATCGTCTGAGCAGATAAGCCTTGCCCAATGAATCAAACATTTGACTACACTTATTGATCACTAGGCCCGGTAAAGGTTCAAGGGTGAATATTATGAACAGAGCGGAACACCTAGGCAAAAAGAGCAGCCTTTTTTAGTGGTCATAGTAAATTTCGGAAGTTATCGACTAGTAATGACAAAAAAAACTGAGGTGATTATTCAAATTTTCTTAAAAAGTTGAGATAGCAAGGTTTCATTTCACTAAGGGTGTGCGGAACACTCAAACCTACCGGTAAAGTAACACCGAGGTTATAAGGTTTACCAAAAGTACATAAAAATGGATGATCACTTCGACCAGTTCTTGACATGTCAAAATCTCCATATCGTGTGACTGCAAAATAGCTAATACAACTCTGCCAACCACTGCACAAAGAAGTTATAAGGCACAGTGTTAAAGATACATTTCAGTTTATTGGGAGAATAAGAGACTTAAATCCGAATAACACTTTTACGATATCTTTAGACGTATCGTCCCTATTTACCAATGTGCTGTTGATGGAAACAGTAGATTTCATTTGTAGCAAAGTGATAAAGGGAAATATAGAAATCAAAATTTGGGCGTCTACTTTGAAAGAGCTTTTTTCAAGATGTTTTATAAATGTACACTTTCTACTTTACAAGGAATTCTATAGAGTCAGGCAGTGTTATTAAGGGGTCATCAGAAGACCCGACTTAGCAGGCTTTTTCCTGGCTAAATTAGAAAATGACCCTTTGGGGAGCATAACAAGCGAGTTAGAATCCTACTGCAGTTAAGTGAACGATACATTTTTCATTCTAAATCCAGCAATAGCCTTTACCATTGACAGAAAAATTGATGATGGTACCATTTGCTTGAATATCCGACTGACAAGGAAGACGGAAGGAACTATAAAAGGGGGACTTATTACTATTGACTGACTAAAATCAATGTAGAACATCGTACACAAGCGCATCAGTTCAAGCTTTCACACTCCACAGTAGTGAACAAAGAATAGGTGGATAGGAAAGGAGTGATATCAAAGTAGAAAAAGCTGTGTGAGAGAACAAGGAGTATGAAGATAAAGGTTAGTGCTTTAGATGTTACGGAGTGAATACATCTGCGCCACTGTGAAGGTTTTTAGCTATGTCACCAAGAGTCCCCAATCACTGATTCCTTTCGTCTCGGGGATCCCAGCCAGCCAGACAGTTTACACCTCCCAACACGACTTTAACAGTCAGGGAATTCATTGACTGATAGTAATTGGTAGGAATCATTTACTGATTACTACAACTACTTTGTGAATGATGAAATAATGAGGTGTGTAGATATAATTTTAACAGAACATAATCAAGAGTAAAATGACCGTTAATGAAGAACAAAAATAACTCACTTTTTCTGTACTCGATGTAATAATCCAATTACAACTTCCAATTCCATACCCAGCACTTAAACCCTTAATAGTCAGCAGACCGAAAATATCCTTGAAAAATTTCAAACATATCAATACAGATAAATACATAAATACAGATCTTATTAGAACAAATAAACTGGAGCATTTATTCTACTCAAAGCTATTATTAAGTAAATTATTAACCTCAAGATAACTACGAGTTGTCATACCGAGCGACATGAGCCAACTTACTTAAATAATAAAATCTGCTACACCTGCCTGTTATGAGTGGAGCATTGAAAGACCAACTGAACACTTAGGATGTTAAGAATCCAAATGTAGGGCCACTAGTTTACCTCGAACAATACTGAATTCAATTTTAATCTGTTTATTAGGTGTGTCACACAGTGAAACAGTATTATTTACTGGATAAGTTTCGAATATACATATTCAAATCGGGTAACTCCACAACTGTTAGATATGGTTTATACACAACTTACTTGGTGTTGGCTAGCAGTGGAATCTAGGACGCATGTTTCGTCCTATTTGGAGCTCACAAGCTGAGTGTACTGCACCCCAATGAGCGATGGTTTTTCTACTGAGACTTTAATTTCACTAAGCGCCAAAGCGTTATCCACTAGGCCACTGAGGCAAGAGAGGTACCTCCTAGGCAACAGGTACTCGTTCTTATCATTAATTGATACCAACAAGTATATTATCAACAAGGAATATCCAGGTAATGTTGAGGCATCCGCATAGGAGCCCATATACCAACACAGATCGATCAATTCGATCCAGTATAGCGTTAATCATAGTTCACATACTTCGAATTATCTCGCCTTCTTCATCATAGGGGTAGTAGGATTTCCCATAATTCTAAAACAAGTGCAGGATCATCTCTACTACATGTATTTAGTGTTGATTCGATGAACAAAGATTTGGTTATACCGTTTATCTATTCCACCCTATAATGTGATAAGTGTGCGATCAAACGAATACCAGAGCTTTTCTCTAGATTCCTTATGGTATTAGAATCTACTAATCTTCATTTAGTTTTTGTGCTGAGACAGACTGGTTGATCCTGAACGACTACTTTGACCAATGTATTTGACTTCGTAATCATCACAAGGAATTTCGCAAACTAAATTATTCTACTTAGTTGAATCAATAGAACCTTTTAGCTTACAAAGATTATTTCTAGGTGAGTTTGTGGGTTTAGATACCACTCTAATCCCAGTTTTCTTGAGAATTCTTCGCATCGTTTCTAAAATAAATATGAATAATATATTATATCCGAAACGTTGTAATACTGATTCACTCTGTGACATCTAATAAATAGACTAAAATGGAATTAAACTCTACCAAAGTTCCCCATTTTTACTCCTATATTGATAATACAGAATGTTGTAGTGTGTATCAGCAGGATGTTACTTTCAGTTGACTAACATTTCTGCAGTTACACATAATTTGATATTGAATACTAACTGTTGAAATGTCTCAGGAGTTAAAAACTCTAAAATTTTAAACTCCATATGATCTTATGGCAATAAGGTTTTTCAAGATACGAAAGATATACCAAAAAAATCAAACGAAACAAGATCCTTTGTCTGAACAGATCAAATATTTGAGGTGAGTCTGTCAGATTACCTTGTTAATGATCTCAGTCCTTGGTGACTGAAATGGTGATCTGACACCTATTCACCAATAACTTTGAAGTTTGCTCAGATACGATGGAGTCAACAAATGAGATACGCTGAACTCAGGGATGCAAATTAGGTGACAAGGCTGAAATTATCAGGGCACGCTTTACGCACATCAAGTTACTTCTTATAATAGAATGAAATATGTATTACAGTAGGAATACACGTTGGAACGAATATAAGACTTAAGAACCAAGACACAATGTCAATTCGTGGGATCGTTAACCACCAGTCAGAGCCATACAAAGAAGTATGGTATTACAAGTTGTCTCCAAGACAGTAAATGTCAGATATGGGAAACCTTGGACGAATTCAGCAAAACTCACCAACTAAAAATGTCATGTTCATGTCATAGAACCAATGTCCTATCAACACACAAAAAGTGAACATCAGAATTCGAGGTATAAAGCGATTTCCTGGAAATATGAAAGATATTATTAGGCCATTCTTATTCACATCAGTCCCCAGTAACTGGCTCACCAACCTCTCTACCAACAATGTTCATAGACAGACAAAGGAAACCAACATAGGACCAGGCAATACTGTATAACTGTCCAAGTTGTCACACCTTATATCAGCACATCAAGAGAGAAAGCACTAAAATGAAAGCTCAATAAATAATGAACACAGCAGTCAGAAGTGGTAGAGAGTAGTAAGAAGAGAGGAAAGGAGGAATAAGAAAATACTGCAATTCACTATGACGATTAAGATGAAGAGGATATGTGGATACATCTGCGCTGCTAACATTGATTCTGAGAAATATCACCTAGAGTTGGCAACTACTAGTTACTGTTACATGGATCACGACCAGTTAGTCTGCATTTCCCTACATGGCTGAGAACAACAGTAAAGGAGTTCAAGGACTCATGCCATATTTTAGTCTGGTTACAGTGATCTATTTTCCAGCCTGAACCAACTTCAGCTAACATTGCGCCACGAAGCAGGTGGTGACTAGGCATGCGTAAAATATGTAACAGCCACCTCAATTGATGGATATATCAACAGCACCAACTACCTTTTCTTTCCTCCCTAAAACTCTTCACCTGAATTCTGCATTACTGACGTGGTGACAGTACGACACACGACCTGTGCTACGAAGGTGACGGTGGTCGGACACCTGAATTCCTGTCATGTCCTCTACCTTAGTTGGCCAGTTTCGCAACTATCCAGTTCAACATGGGGAACAGTAGCACTAATAATGGCGCAAGCTGGTAAAGTCTGATCGAGCCTTTAATACCCATGGAAAGAATTTCGTTGTTCACTGACCTACCAGGGTTGATCTCACTTGCCAGATAAGTTAAACGGTCAATGCGTTCGATCATCTCACTCCCTATACCCAGACAAGGCACCAGTGAAAACCAGTCCTGGAGGACTAATTTGTATTCTGGTGGTAAGAAATGCATCCCAGACATTCTCAAATTACCACTCAAGGTGCTCAGAAGACTGCATCTTGTTAGCGCCTTCACTTAACAGGACTATGTCATCTAAGAACTCTAGATCTACCAGAAATTTTCCTGTGGTAAGATTAATTCCTTTGAAATGATGAAATTGAAACTTACAGAGGTACATTTAGGATAAAGTTGAATAAGAATGGATATCCTTGACGAACATCACTCGACGTGCACAACTCACTTGATAACTTACAACAGGCAGAAACACGTCCAAAGGTGTCCGAGTACATGACCTTTAACGAAGTTATATACTTACTTCTTTTAGTGATAGACATTGCTGTGAGACCCCCGACTGACGGAGCCCAATTTCGCCTTCAGGTTGAGAAATACACCCAGTGTCGGTGAGTGTGCTGGTGTTCCAGAAACTGGCAGAGGGTGAATATCTGGTGGATACACTCACGGTCAGGTTTGAAGCCTGCCTAGTTTTCTCGGGTTGGCAATCCTTGAGCTCTAAATAGACGTCTGATAATTATAGAACCTGTAATCCTAGGTATATGTTCATTAGATTGATTCGCCTGAAACTGTCACAAGAAAAATTTGCACCTAGGGCAGTCAGTGATGGAGACCAGTTAGAGGGGATCATGTTTGACTCCCATATACTAGCTAACATTTCACTTAATCCGCCCAACAATTCCCTACCACTGTCCTTAAACACCTCTGACACTAGTCCATCTAGCGCTGCAGCCCTTCCTCATTTCAGATTACCTACAGCTTTTTCAGCTTCGGTAAGTGTTCGGGTTCCTACTATGTTGTTTCATTCACGATTTGACTGGATAGCGGGCAACAGCATACTAGCTGGAGGCTAGTTGAACTGTTCCTCGAAGTGTCGTACGCGTTGTTCCAGTTGTCTCTCCTGCTGGTGTGTCGTAGATCTATCCTTCTTCGCTAGTCTCACTAACCACTGAACTTTTCGCCTTATTTTCAATAATCAGCCTGAATAACTGTCTGCTATACCCATCACAGCTACCTCTTCCATATCCTTAGCCTTCGTTGCCGACCATCGTTCGCGGCCACTGTCCAGACTTTATGTCAATCTACATTTGGGTTGCGCCTGTTTCTCACTGTGCTCGGGGCCGGCATGGATCGGTGCGCGTGCGTCCATTAATTCGGAAGCTGCTGAAACCTACCGACCTTTTCTAACCGTTTCCTGAGAGTCGGCTACGGTCTTCAACGGTGTTTCTATGACAGATTGGAGATAGCACTAGACGTCTTCTGAGTGATGCTGTTCTGTCCCGACAAGTGTCCAGCCGTTTTCTTGCTGAAAGAAGCCTAAATGTTTTCGTCGTCGAACTGTACTCATAATAATGTTGTTGCTATAGTTTTCCTACGTCTATTTAGACGCAGATATGCACATGCTTATTGTCAAGAGCTGCAGAGCTTGAACAAATTAAATATGATGTAGGAATGTTGACCAAGAGAAATGAAGGAAGATTAGAAGTTAAGGATGTAGAAAGTGGACAGTGATCTAATGGGACTTGAGTGAGAACAGAGTTGTGAGAGTGGTTGAGACTTCCTGGTTGTCTACATCGTAGAAGGCTAGTTCTCCTCATGGTACCTAAGAAAGAAGGGTTAGTGCGTGACCGTAGAAAATTCATACACATCTGCCTGTGGCCTGTCAAATACAACCTCATAAAAATTTGATATTTTAGTCTGATTTTTGTGAATTCGACTATTAATTTGTATGGTCGGGACTGGTATGTCACACAGTAGAGTGCTGTTTTTAAGGCCATTTCTTTACTAACACTCCCGATAAGGAAGGCAGTAAGAGCGTGGCACTGCTGGTCATCCGCAGGAAACACCTTATTGATTTCATACTCCCGTCAATCCTACAGTACCATTTTGCCCCCAGACCAACATCATAGTGCAGCAATTTACGCTACGATGGCAACTTCTGTTTTTCTTACCACAGACCTTTCTGGCACGACAGGACCTCAAGGGAACAAACGTCTCACCAGCATAACATATTGGGTCGTTATGAAATGCAATCTCAACCACCACATCAAGGTAGCAGCTATCAGTCACGCAACAAGTGGGTAACATTCTCAACTTAAATTGTCAGCTAACCCTGAATGGTCTTAGGCTTATCGCAAAACATAAGTCACCCTAGCCCTAACTAGCAAAGTTAGTAGGCAAATATATGTAAAGAAGATACTTTTCCCAAACCTAGGAGGGAACTTACCACAGGTTCATGGTAGGCGACCAGATGAACCCTATCCAAAGCTTTTGTAACCGATTCACGGGTATAAAACTTTGTCCAGTTGTATTCACCAGAATTCATTAAATGGTCAGTTGCATCGGTAAATCCACTGGTTTAAACAGAAGAATAGAAAAAGGCAAAATTGTTGTATGATAAATTTACCTCCAGCTGTCATTATCAACTATCAAAGGTCAAAATTTATTTACTGTCTTAGTTTACACTTCAGTACTATAGTTTTTCTGATTAGCCCCTTACCTATAAAATGCATCTGTATTACAACTGAGCGCTGAAGTGTAAAATCTAGTTAGGAACTGTGTTTTTTTGACTAGTCAATAGATGAATAAACAGCAGTTGTTAAGGGATCTATATCTAATATAAAAATCAGTGATTCAATGGGTCAATGTGTGATGTTTTAAACCGACAAACAGCTACATTTCTTATCCGGAAGGAGGTATATTACTGCCAGCTTGTGTCATCTCTTGCACCAGTGAGATATCCGACTACCTGCAAAACGAGTATGCTACGCTGCAGATCGCTCTGTCCTGTCTTGTTATACGGTGATCAAACATAGCCGCTAAGAGCAGAAGAAACAAAGAGACTTCTGGTTTTGATGACAGGTCTTCGTAGCATTGCTAGCGTATGGTGTAACCATTATGTCAGCAATGTTGAAGTTAGGCGAAAGGCATTAAGTAAGGAAGGAAAGCCGGTTAGTGAAGATATGAACCGTCAGAGACTGAGGTGGCTTGGAAATATGTTGCATATGCCAAGCCACCGCTTACCTATGCGATGCTAGCCAAAGTTGGATTGGGTTGATTTTTTCTGTCCGATATATTAATGCAACCCGACGACCGAGGTTCATGCACCAAACAATGAGTCACACCTGTATGAGGGCTATATGTCTGCGAAAATCCCAGTAAGTGGATTGAAGTCCGAACAAGTAACTCACTGATTGAAAGTTGACTGCCTAAGTCAATTGACCGTAGCTGCACAGGTTCAATAACCATTTATGTGCTTGCCTAGCATCACTGTCGGTTACACCAAACTTACAGCACATACTGTCAAACTAATTACTCTAAGCTTGGTAAGCTAGCTAATGCATGAACCTGCTACACAACACTTTAAAGTCACACAATCACACCAGCAAACCTCAAGCTCAACTAGTAGGTTACTACACTAAGAGAATCACAAATATTTGCTACAACAGTCATAACCAAAGTCAGTGAAAGAATTTAAAAAATGAGAAAAGTGTAGTCACTGATCAGTCTTACATATTCTCCTTCTCCAAAATGGTGTTGAAAGAGCTATTCACCCTTTAAATTTTAATGTCGTTTCGCCTATCTGACCATCTCCTTCTGCGCTCACAGTCGGTTTGACAGCTTAGGCTGATGAACTGCTATGTATTTCTATGCTGCTTCGTCTCTAACCATAGCCAGGCGGTAAACATGACGGTAATCATAAGTTTTTATATTTTTCTAACCAAATAATTAAACACTTACTAGGATTAGAACATGCGTAGATGCATACAAAAATTATTTCCAAATAAACACCGATGGTTGTGGGCACAGAGGTAGAGGAGAACTTGGCAGTCAAATACGTTACGTTTAAATAAAGGATAAGTAGTGTTCAAGATATCTATCCCCGGCGATTATCCGAATCTTCACAGATATCTATTCTTCATTCAAGATAGTGTTAAAAGGTTTTCAGTGAGCCACGTGGATCTCTACAAGACATGGATTTCTCCAACATTAGGACGTATACCTTGTTTACCAATATGAACAACCACAAAACGCACATTAAAAACAAAGATTTCATTTATATGAATACAATGTCAACATATAAAAGTTATAAAATCTTGCAAATTGTTTGAAAGACCCCTTACCTTGCTTTCATATTAGGTTGAGTGGAAACACTTTGAGATTCAGCCAGCTGATCAAGTTCACTCAGTAAATCATCTATTAATATTCTTAAGTAATTATTTTACGTATTTTTTACAGAAAACTAATTCAATACATACTTTCCAAACTTTACAACTGGTTCAGTTGCAAATATTTTTCCACGAAATTTGGTATTCTCAAAAAGAAACGGTAATCCTAAAATACTGCGTGTATTTGACACAAGAATTGCATCAACAGTTTCCCAAAAAATAGATGACATCTAAAGTTATTTTTTAATTTTAAAATCACATTGAAATTTACAAATGAACAAAACCTCTGAAGATTTTAACATGCAGAATTTAAAGCCAGTATTGATATAGTTTATATCACCTAGCTTAGTAAACTTGAATAGGAAATATTATTTGAGTAATTATGATAGAAAAGCAACACTAACCATATCACCTCCTCTATCCCCCACCATATGAGGTAGGTCAGAACAACCAGGACTAAAGATCAGTAGACTATTACGGAAGAATATTAAAAACAAACCTCATCAGTTGGTGGTTTGGTAGGAAATATGACAAATTTGACAAATCTAAACAACAGTCCAGTAAAAGATTGACATCACGCATATAAAGGAGATAGCAAGGATTGTGAACGTCAGTATTTAATCGCCGCTAAATGTAAAGATTTACAACAATATATATCATTAACTTACAAGTTGAAGTTTTGTATCATCTGTATTTAACATTGCTTAACAACCTTTAAGTGTTGAAATTATGTACGTTTTGCTCTGTATATTTCTTCAGGTTAAAGATACTATCACACCTTTCAGGAATACCTCTTGATTTTTCAATACTGACAACCCAAGACAAAATAAATGTTTTTGATCCTTCAGGTTCTTGTCAAGTCACAACTGAGTAAGAAGGAAAAAACAATAAAGGAAATTCGTTTTTAAAACACTTCCGAATATCACTAAAAAATGTCAAGTATAACATTGTAGATATCACAGAGAATTTCACGAATCTAGTAAGACCAGGAGTACAGTTTTAACTTCTTGTTATAAAGTAAACATCACGATAACATTTTTCTAATTCATTGCTAAACGAGATAATAGGTGTGATAGGATATCAAACAACAGGTTCAAACCAGCAGAGTTTGAAGGAGTTGCTGTAACACAATTTCGTAATTTCCTACATTTTGTGTCACAAAATGATAGGCAAGTCGAACCATCCCTTAATGCGGAGTAAGTGGATTAGTTGCGATGTAAATTACAACCAATCTAATAGATAGTATTCCTTCCAAATAAAACTACTGATACTAAGTTTGTGGACATGGCAAATAGAGTAAGAAGCACCAACAGGAAGTAGGTTCACTTAAATTACTAATCTCTCATTAGTATAATAAGACAAAAACCAACGTAAGACGGCATGTAAGTAATTTTCCAGCAGTTTTGTTGGTCTTTGGACTGGTGCATTTATTTGGAGTCAGATTTCAGTCGATTGGTCATAGATTTGGGCGCTTCTGTACCAACCCAAGTTAGGGTAGTTTCACCAGTCGCTACGAAAAGTTGAGACCACGTCTAGTACGCAAACACGAACATGGTCAAAGTTATGACCAAGGTTTGAGTTATTGTAGATAGCTGTTATAAATGAGCATAAATGATATATTGAATTATCGTGGAGATGCTGACAACTTTTGTAATAAGACCCCGGGGAGCCGAAAGCTTTCGGAAACTGGAAATGATTAAATTAACGGGTGGATGTAACTAAATAACCTGCACCACAATAAGCTACTTCCATAGTGTTACGACTAACGATGCTACCTGGTCACTTAAACCGCCTTAGATGACAGACAAAAAAAATAACGTACAACTTCAACCATCAAAGTTACCACACTTCACAATAGCACAGGTGGGTTGGGAAGAAAATAAATACAGTAGACAAAAGTGTATGAAGAGTAACTTTTTAAGCTAGTAAAATGTGTGAAACTTACATGACAAAGAGTGTGAACATCAACACTGCTGTGACCACCTCTTAGCTACATCCCACCCATCGGTTTCTAACATACCAAGGACCTCAATCAGTGTGAACGATCCAACATTCGGACAAGCGACAAGCTAGTACCATGCCTTGGTCTGGTTATGGTTAATGTCAGTTTTCTTCCAACTTAATTCTATTTCGGATAAAGTGATACATCGAGATAATCGGTGCGCAAAACATGTATAAGTCACCTCAACCTCAACACGTTTACATTATTAGCTGAATTATTTTTCTTTTCTAATACTTTACACCCGAACTCAAAATTATTAAATTATGATTCCACAACATGCAAGCAATGCTGCGAAAACATTCGGAAACCTGTGACTTTATGTTATACTGTCACCAGCCATGTTTTACAGCTGCAAAAGACACAGTGAACCGTTGTACAGTAAACTCATTCTTTGAGGTGCAATCGGATAACACGCCAGTGTCAGAGATGATGAGTGTCGGTAGACACCAAATAAATCTAAAGTATTCCAGTTGAGACTTCGTCCAAAACCAGGCTCATAGAGCTGATACATATTCTTATATAAACGATCAATACATTCTGCCACTTTACTTTTTATCATTCAGCTAAGAGTTAGTGAGGATCAGCCACTTGTAATCAGCTTACATTTAAAAGGAATGGATTACACGTCAAGCATACGCAAACGTTTGTTCCAAGAGTTCAGAAAAGCCTGTGTTTAATCAGTATTCTCACAACAGAGGACTGTGGTTTGTATGCTCTGAATTTCAACTTAACTTCTACTGGTTGGACATGAATATCGTATGGAAATCAACAACTTTTTCAATAAGAATGTATCATTTACGTGATGTAGAATCACTTACTACGTCTGGAATACGAAATTTGTACCAACTAAGACCAGACCGAAACATGAAACGAATTGTAATTCACAAATTCACACAAACCATCCATTCTAGGTAGTTCCAGACAGTTTTTAAAAGCAGCTGACAAATTCCAAAAATGTCAGTCAGTTTGAATCAAATAATGATAAAAACCTGTGCATACAGTACCATGTTCACAATAGTAGTACAAAGGACAACCAATGTCGTCGTAATATTAGTCACAGTAGTAGAGACCAGGGATAATCAATGAGAATGCTACAAAGCATGGATACAAGTAATTTACGTAAACAAATTGAGTTGATCTGAAAAAGCGACGTGGTCAGGCTTGCTAGCTAGGCACGTCCAACCATCAAAGAAGCCTCCCTCGGCACTTTAAAGTAGCTTGTGAGGTGATAAATCCGCTGCCTCACAAACTGCTTTCCCAATTTTCACGAACACTTGTTTTCATCTCAAATCGTTCTAGACGTAAACTTACTTTGTTGTTATGAAATATACTTGTTCATTTACAACTTATTAGTTTCAGGAACAGCTGCTAATATTTTTAAAGTCTTCGTAATTACTCTGCATCTACGATAGTTATTTCGTACCAGGCAAAGTTAACTTTAAATATGGGATTCAATAATCATTAAATGCTTAAACACGTTTGCTGAACTCGTACGGGGATAAAACGTGAAAAAGTTGCTTTAAGGTAGAAACGTGTATGTTACTGTTGTAGATCTTGCTTCTTCAACCTAGACGGCTAAATGGTCCAGCTCTATATCTGTCTTCTACATATTTGAGCCCAGCTGAACTTGGTTTGTAACAAACTTTTCTTGCTTATAAGGTAACTATATGAGAAAACTTGGTTCTTGTTGAAACAAGACCGATTCTGAAGAGGCATAGTGAATGTACAGAAAACCTACTGAGCCATGTGTAAACAAAAACTACCTGGAGTTAGCCCTGTCATTTGTTGAAGCATAAATGCCGCGCTGCAGCACACTTTTCAAATCTACACGTAACAAATCACCTTTAATTAGGCTTTTAAAATATTTTATCATATAAGCTTTTCATATAAACTTCTACTTCACGCACATCTTTTCTGGTTATGTCAGACATTGCAGTTTTACTAAATTCAACAATATGTGCGCACAGTTTGACAATGCATTTCCAGGGAGTGACTTTTACTCACTGTTTTCAAAGGCCATCCTAGCAATGACGCTGAGTGTAGTTCTTCGCTTACTTCATGTTTAAATGACAGACAAATAAGGCTTCCGTGATCATTAACTAGACATAGGATAAACGATATACAGCGTAAGATACAGACGCACTCTTAGGTCACGTTCGCCTCAGTCGATTGGTTGGTTTTAAAACGCCTATGAAGCGGTTATTCCATTTGGCATGATACTAGCATAAAGATAGTGTTTTCAGCCGCATGCAAGATGTCTGACGACGCAACAGCAGTGTTTGACGGAGTTACGGCGTCCAAGCATTTTAGTAGTTGGGATGCATTCCAAAAAGCGTTTTTAAGGTTCACTAAGGTACTGTAACAGAAGAAATCAGGTTTCATGAACTGATTATTGCATATTAGGAGGCCCATGTGCCGGAGAAATGACAGTAACTAGGTACTGCCACGAGACCTTGTGATATTCATTTTTACCTTTGGACAGAAAAGGCATAGTGGATCAAGTGACATTAGAATGGAAATCCCGTAAGCACTTTTGACAGTGTTAGTTTATATTCCTACTGGTCAAAATAGAGGGAATGCCATTCGCTTTTCTGTGTTAAACGCGTAAACAATTAGCCTGTAGTTTCACACCTTAAAGGAAAACGTAGTCGCCCGAGTACATTAGAGTTCAAGTTGGTAGACCCAGTGGAAGACACCACCAGAAACCGAAATATTTTATCCTAAGCCTTTCTTGGAGTGCGATACACATACATCTAATTCGTGATAGCTTGCACTGCGTAAATTTGGTAGATGGGTCAGGAATAAAGGTTAGAAAGAAGTGAAGGTAAAGGTATTTGACAGTACTGTAGAGGTGCCTGTTACAATTCCGTAACGTTTGATCAACCCTACTTAACTCGATGTGCTCTAGTACCTGCTTAACCAGTACTTTACCCAACGTGTAAGTACCGGTAACAAAACACAAATCAAAAGAAGTGATACGCAATGTATTTGAAGGAGCTATATATTTAATTAAGGTAAATGAAATAATAATGAGAGAAAAGTTTAATCAATTTATCTGGCTTGTAAAGCTGAACTAGGGACTCGGAGTACGTGCGCGGTAGTCAGCACAATGGAGCGCGAAATGGCGTCCAAGCCTGCTTGGATGCATGCCCGTTAAAACAAGGCTTAAAAGCACCCTGAGCATCCGGAGGCAAGCTAAAGGTTTATTCAGTTAATTTAATTTAATCTATTTATTTTAGCCCTAGTTACATTTTGATGCCAGGAAGGTGCACTACAGGTTGCCCCCCTCCTAGAAGGTTGTTGGGATACCGGGGCGAGGCGAGGGGCGACTGCGAGGTGGATACGCAACACCTTTCCATATTGGTGATGGAGTAGGTGACGTGTGGGTCTCCGAAGCTAGTGCAGCTACGCACACCTACGAGGTAAGATAACTTTGCGTCCAGACGCAACCCTTCTCTCAGTGGTAGAAGGTGACCCAAAGCCTCCGTCCACTTTTCCCTATTGCTTCTTAATCTACCGGGGGGTGTACAACGAGAAATTGATACAAAAAGAACCGAAGAACGATCCAAGTAGCATCGTCAGCGGCCAGTTGTATCCAATTTTCAACGCATTTTCTAGGTTCTGCAAGAAGAAGGAAATAGGACATTAGAGTGCTGAGAAAAGAAAAGCCAAACAGTTCGAAGTGGGAGGAGTACAGAA